CTTGATGTCTGCCCTGCAGTAGTCTGCCGTCCCATTCAGGGTCTCCCGTGCCTTGTACTTCCTGGGTTATGGCAATAACCATTAGCCTAAACTCACAATAATTTTACCATTGTATTTCATTAGTACTGTATTAAATATGATATCCTACACAACCTTTTCATAAAAATATCTTTTGATTACATATTTTGATAGGTCTAACAGAACTTTACGACTATAATGTGTACATCATAATATATTAATCAGCTGTAGCTATTTAACGGATAAAATTCATCGAAATTCATTGAGCTGTAAATAACTTTTTGTGACAAAACTTCATCACTTAGGTGTACATAATAAAATTTTGGCTCTGAGTATCTAGTTTGAAATTATATCGATGAGTGGTAGAATTGGAAATACCTAATGGCTGTTCTCCTCTCTGAATCACACTGAGTACTGCACACACCCATCTAACTATCTAATCATGAGTTTATTGTTTGTGCTTCCAGTCTCCTGTTACATTTCAAGTACTGTACAGCACAGACAGGTACAAGTCAACTCTACATTATATTAATTATTCAAGCTGCATCTGCTAATTTAACTAACTGCTTGAATCACAAAAGGTTTGTCGGAAAGGACAGGATGTTGAGACTGAGACATATGTCCTTTAAGAGCAGGTTTTAAGGACTTGGTATTGTTTGACGTAGGAACATAACTGACACACCTGCCTGATTACCCACTTCATCCATCTCATTTCCACCACAATGACCGGCAGGTCCAAGCGAAAGGCGCTGGGGGGTGAGCTAGGATGGGGGGGGGNGGGGGGGGGGGGGGGGGGGTTGGGAACTAGACAATCAGCCAGACTTAATTACTGCTATTGCGCCAGGCTTCAAGTATTTTGGCATGGAAGCGAGAGGGAGCAGAAAGTAAGAGTGACAGAGAGGGCCGAGGGACAGGACTCAGATTGTTCCTGGCTAACAGAACGCGTCCTTGTGTGGCCCGAATGAGGAGGACACCCGTTCACTGTGTCATTGTGCATCTCTATGTGAGTCCTTGCCACCACACAGAAACGCCCGCTCCCAGTGACACACTTTCCAGTATCCGCTTGTTAGCGTGCCACAGTCTGGTCTGCTCAACCGATTGCCGGGAACAAGTGAATACTACACTGGTTGTCCAGCCAGATCATCAAAGACAAGCCTTCCACCTGCAACGACTAATTTGGTGATGTCTACCCTTCTTTATGAAACAAAGGCCCTTCTATCTCTCTCTCTTACAGTTCTTTTTCAGATGGTGCCTGAAATTGCAAGGAAAATAAATCGATCATGAATGGCAGATCCATAGAATCCTCCAGTAGGAGGACAAAATAATGTTTTTACAAATACAGCTTAAATTACAATGGACCATTAATACACATGCTGCTGCAGCAAGACACTGGGCTTGACGTATGGCATAACTGGAGAGAACCAAGCTGGCACACGCCACTGGCACTAGGCTCGGCACAAGCTACTAGGAGATGCTCTCTCTGTCACTCCACAGTGCTGCGGAATCACCATAACCAGAGAGCAGGGCATGCTGTCGACGCACAGCACATATGAGCACCGCTTGATGGACAGATTGTAGACTGACAGCCTGCAATGTCTCACTTTGAATCTCCAAAGATGAGAACCAAATCACAGGAATGTTTACTGGGCCACTATTTAATCCGTCAGTCAGTGGCTGACACCAATGCCACGTTGCGTCATTAGACAGAGGGGTCTCCCCCTAGGGGTGTCAGGCCGTTAGCTGAGAGTTTGGTAGTGATTAGAGGGAGAGCCAGAATTTCCATTTCATCTAGGTAGAGAGCAGCAGTGGTGCTGGGGCTGTTTTAGGGGACCCTAGCCCCCCCTTTTCATAAATCCTTAGTGACACCCTTGGTAGAGAACTCCTGTGGATATCACCTCAGCATTCCCAATAGTCTGGAGTGTTTGCGTTTAAGGAAAGAAAAGACATTTATCAGTGAAATGATGGTTGGTAATTGTAGCCTCAGATACATGGTTCTGTAAAGAAAGTTTACAGTTTAACTTCTGGGAAAGTCAAAGCTTCTGAGATAAAAATCTAAGGTAAATCACTAAAACAGAATGATATACCCCTTGGCCAGTTAAAACTGACTCAGTTCTAAATGCATCACTTTGTCAACAATTCAGCAATGTATCTGAAGGTTGAAACAGGAAGACCTTTAATCCTATATCATTGATCGTTCATGTTTAATGGCTGGAATGTGTGGCCCGAAATGAACTGGGACACTGACATCTCTCGCTTACTTTTCATTGATCCTGTGCACAGGGGAAACTAAAGCCTCTCACTAACCTTCTTTGGCCACACAGTTACCAGTAAGTAAATACAGATTTTTTTGTATGTTTTCAGTAATCACTTGGAAGAAGCGATTATCTAATCGCTAATTAAATATCTAGACTTAAACTTTGCTTATAACAGCCAGGTTTCAGTAGCGTACATTGTGTACATTACAAAGAACGCCTCACAATATTCAAAATAGCATTTAACAGAGGGAGAAAGTCCATCTATTGGCGTGGAAGTATGGCGATATGTATGTGGCGTCTTTCTCCACTGAACAGACACCCAAACCCCAGATAAGTGCAATTTGAGCTCCACCACATTTATCCACAGCTGTCCCGTACTGGGGAGACTTACCCTTTCAAGTCTCCATGAAACCTGATTCCCAGCCTAGATGAGAACTTAAAGTAAAACTGAGATAAAGAAACAAGGCCCACAAATATCCAGATTAAAACATGCAGACTGGAGCTTCTTGGTTGCTATATATTTCATCATAGGGGATCTGTTATCATCATCGGCTCTTGTGTGGCACATCTTCCTGCTTTTTTATACCATTATATTAATAATAGAATGGTGTCATCGGTAGATGTTTCTATGTAGTAATAGCCAGAGATGTATCTTTAAATACAATCGCGAAGTTCCAGATACAATAACAACACTGCACAACAACAGCAGAGAGTCTGCTTCATGTACAGCCACGGGCCGTCTCTCAGCTGCCGGTTTGTAAATCAGCTATGTGTCCACAGCTACACCTGGTCGCTAGGAACCAGTTTAGGCATAATCTGGTAGAGCACTCACATGAGCCGCAACAGAGTGAGAAGGAAAAGGGCAAAACTTGGAACTTTTTCCTGGTGATACGGTAAATCTTGCACAAGCATCTGCTGTCAACACAGACATACTGACCTCATTTCTGTGACTCAGACAAGCACAAGCATTATTCACACTTATGACCATTTCAGGGGCCATTGGCATGTAAGCCAGAGATAAAGCCATTGCAACATTGTTGCATTTTGTAAAAATGTATTATTGAAATAAACTGAATCTAATAGGATCTGAAACTGTGACACCTTCATTTAAGTTTTAATGAATCATTATGGAAATCCGCAGATCTTTGTTGGCCCATAAGAGGACAGCAGTCACCTAAATGATCATTACACTACACCTCTGTTGATATACAGTATGCACTGTAAAGTCAACAAGTCATCCAACCTTTTGAAGCTGGAGAAGCTGCTTTAGATATAAACAGAGAGATCGTAAGGGAGGTATATAAGATCAGGTGGATGGTTCTGTCAGTGTGACTCTGATCTATTGTGATGATTTCACCTTCCCAGAATCCTCAGCATCAAGCTTGTAAAAGACATGCACACTTTTGCACGCCCTCTGCAATTTTCACATTTCCCTGCACAGTGTCTTGTGGAGGCTTCAAACTAAATTAGTACGATGTTCCTCTCTGTTCTGCTAATGCGTGATTGGAGCTGACTCAAGCGGGGGAGTTAGTGTGCAGCCTAATATGCACTCGCAGGTGGATCATCTTAACACACGTGCCCATAAAATCCCAGGGGAGATTTCAGCTTGTCAGTACAGCCTCAGAAAACGGCAATCTGCCTTCATGGGGCATTTTTCATCGGCCTATTAGCGCTCTATGGAAAAACAATTGCAGGGTTATTAAATAACCAGGGGAAATTAGAGTCAACATCCTGTCCTCATAGAGGTCTTTTAAATGCCCTACAATGAGCTGATTACTTCTGGTTCTAAGTTCACGTTCTAAATGCGAACCGTCGTCACTTTAGTGCCTTCAGTCACAAACCACAAAAATCTGCAGTAAAACAAGGAAACTGCTCTGTTTCTGTATTTGTGTGAGGGAGGTGTGGATGGTCAGGATGAGCGGTTGCCAGCTCATGGCAGAAGCAGTAGCACAGAGCATGTGTGTGAGTGCTTGGGGTGCATCTTTCAGCTGCTCGTAACATCAGCTTCCTAACGACAGAACCTTATGCGAGGCTCATTACCACCTAAGCTGCCCAGTTTAGGTAGTGACACGCGGCGATGCCTTATCAGAAAGCCAGTGGCCAAGGACTCCGCATGATGATCGCCCTTGACATATGTAAAATGTTACATCTTCTGAGATTCGCTTATAGATGGATAGATGTTATTTTGCCACAGAAGACATTAAAAATGAAACACCTGGACTCACTAAGTCATTATCCATATCGCTGAGTTGCATTCTTGCCAGGAATAAAGCAAGAAAATCAGAAAATGTCCTGAGCAAAATGCAAGCAATAAGCAATGGCTGACTGCTCTGAGAATGCGTTCAGATTTATTTATTTATGATTTAAGCATGGCCACTCTATCTATTTATCTATCTATCTAAATATCCAGTATGTCCTGTGTGTATACACACACATACAACGTAAACTTGATGTTTCATTAATGATTATATTGGAAAAATACTTCGAAACCCTTAGCAAACCAAGGTAATAACATTTATATTTCATAGTTTGTAACGGAACTTCAGCGGTACAACTTCCCCCTTACATATGTATTCGGTAACTATTTAAAATATGAAAGTCAATGATTATAACGTATATATTCTTATAGCCACAATAGTATGAAATTAGAACATAACTAGAACAGATCTGGTTACGTTCACAATCAAGTATACTTGTGGTCAGACAATAAAACAAACATGCTTGTACCTCTTTCTCGGAGATGTAGAGTTGCTCTCCTTTCAGAACTACAAAGCGGTTTTTCCAGATCTCCCTGAAAATCCCTTTGCCACAAAACTTGCGAATCCATCCTATTTTATCCGGCTGAGAGGATGGCTGGGTGGGATCCTGGGGGCCCTGGGTATTGCAAACAGAGGGCAGTTCAGCTGACGGGCGTCCTGCACTGACATGATCGCAGCGCCTCATTTAGATTCAGAGGATGGGGACGATTCGTGACTTTTGCAAAGGCTGCTGTCATTTCTTTTGTCATGTAGATAGATAGACGTAACATTCCTGACATGAGTTGAATCTTCTTGAGCTTCACTACGGAAGCAAAGTTACTCACGCTATAAAGTTAAAACATTCAAATGATCGTCTTTCGTTATTAGACAACCCTGACAGAAGGGTAACGGCATATATAGTCCCCATTAAAGGACATCTTTCATCTACGATTTATTTAACCGTACCGTATAAGCGACTTTGGAAATAGTTCTTAATAAACTATTACGAAATTACAGTATGTTAAATAATGTCCTACGCGGAAAAAAATAACCAACTATGTTTGCACGTAGTTTTGAAGTGTGTTAAACGCAAGACGTGTAGTCTGCTGACACATAAATGTTTTTACAGACATTGTTTAATAAACTATAGCAGGTACTGGATTTCATACTGACAAACAATTCAGAGTAGTAATAAATCGCAGCATTATTTGTTAGACAACATAGCATAGAACATAAAATGTCTTAAGACAGTAACCTGCCGCAATAATGAATATGCAGAGGAAACAGTTACTTGACTACAGCCGTGAAGGCTATAGTCTAAGGCGCTTACCCGTTTTGCCGAATTGTTTTTCTTCATTGTGAAGGTGTCACAGTTTCAGATCCTATTCCCAGAGTTAGGTCAGGTGTATTTTTATGCAGTTTTTTTTTCTAGCAAGGATACGGGGGGAGCTGGGAAAATTCAGTAAGGCTGAGAAAGGCTGGATCGCGTCTCGCTGTCCGCTTCCACGCGCAGATGCGCCTCCTTTTCCTCTAGTGCGTCTTTCTCTCTGCTCCTCTCTAGTTTCCCAGCGATGGGTCTTGCTGTCGCCCTCGGCTCGCACCCTCAATACCCTGAGCTGAATTAGTAGTCTCCAGTTACGCAGAGCGGGGTGAATCATTGACTCTCAAACCCGGCTTCCCCGCCCGCAGAGCTTCGTATTGTAATAGGGACTTGCCGCCGGGTTCCCCCCGCAAACACTCCACAGCTCCATCTACAGCCCCGGTGCGGCTGCTCTGCGACTTTACTGTGCAAAGTGTACTCGTGTTGTAATGCGACGGGCGCTATTTAGATGTCTACACGTGTACATACATGTCGTATATTAAATTAATCTCAGTTCTCATCATTTAAATGAAGGATCTCACGTGTATTGAATATTCATGAATGCATGGGGGACTTGCATTTAAAGGTTATATTTGTGCGTTTTGAAATGATTTGGTCATATATGCACACTGCGGTCATTTTATTAGATACCCCTATGTAATACCATTTTAGGAGTCATTTTTTTTCCAGAGCCACTTTAAGAGTTGATGCGTTGTGTTTTTTGCATCTTTATTTTTGGACCTTTATGAAGTTTTAATAAGACTGGCCCCTAACTTCTCTTATTAACAAGGTGTTTTGGCCACAAAACTGCCCCTGATTCGATGGTTTTTGTTTTTCACACCATTCTCTCTAAACTCTAGACTTCATATTCCACGAAAATCCCAGGAGGCTGGAGGTTCCTTAGATGCTGGTACCACCATGTTTGGATTAAACAATTACACCACAATCGAAATTGTATCATATATCTTAGCGTTTCTGACGCTTGGCCACACAATACGTCGACCTCTTGACCCTGAGTGTGTTGTATATATTCAGGTGCAGCCACCTGATTCGCTGTTTGTTGGATCATTGTGTGAAGCTGCCACCAATATACATTTAAAAAAATGCTGAAACTATATATGTTTTATATGACCTCTAGCCGCCGCTCTGACATAAAGTGTGCTTGATTTCGGGAATGTATAACAATAGCATCAACTGTGTTCTGGATTGTAACATCAAGAATGGTATAGAAGCAGACTTCCAGAAAAGTGCTTGAGAAGTTTGTGAGACCACACAGGTGTTAGAAGAGCACTGTTCATAGGTAAGAAATCCAAGTATGAAACTCACTCTAATGGCCGAAGGTAATCCTTCATAAAGCCGATTGCAAAGTAAACATGATGCAGTTATGACCATTCTGTTGCATGTCAGATGCAAATTGTCTACTCTGCTAAAGAGTACTTCAGAAGGCTTTAAGCACTAATAATGATGCAGTACAAAAGATATTTTGATATTCATAATCTTGACTAATAATAAAAATCTAAACGAGTATAAGAGAGAGCAGTAAACGCCGAGCACTAATTGATGCTGATGCTGTTTATTTGAAATAAATACTAACGTTTTGTTTGATGATGTGGGCAGCGTGGATCTGTAAAATTAGGTCATGGTCGTATAGTTATTGTTTTGCTGAGTAGATTAATGCGACAATGGGAGAACTAGCCACTTCCTCTGAATAGGCTAATCCAACTCACCGGGTGAACGCAGTTTAAGTTGGCAGCTGTGCCATTGACCGGCAGTCAGCACAAATAGGCCACCCCCCTTAGAAGGCCACTTGTTGCCAGGAAAAGTTGAATGATTTCAGTCAAAGAGCTTCCACTAGGATTAGAGATATTTCCAAACACACGGGAGTCTACTTATGTGCATTACATACATGGAGCCCAAGATGCCTGTTATGCTCTTTGCACCATTAGTGTCAAGTGATATTTATAGGTTACCAGGGATATGAAGTAGGAGCTCCGTCATTATATGACTAATAATATTGCATTTATGATGCATTCATTATGTTCACGGGAACGAAGGATGAAGAGTGAGTTTGTAAATGTATGTAGAGCACAGTGTGGTGGCATGGTGGTGCAGTGGATGTCACCGTCACCTGACACCTCTGGGACCTGCGTTCAAGTCTCCACCAGGGCTCCATGTGTGGGCTTTGCATGTTCCCCCCGTGTCATTGTGGGGTTTCATCCGGGTTCTCTGGTTTTTCCCCCCCACAGTCCAAAACTCTGAAGTTAATTGGAATGAGCAGATTGCCCATAGGAGTGCATGGCGTGTGTGTGCCCTGTGATGAGTTGGCACCCCATCCTGTGCTGTTCTCTGCCTTGTGGCTGTACCCTCTGCGATAGGCTCTGCGTGACCCTAAGTAGGATGAGCGGTTGCAGAAAATGGACGCATCTAGAGCACAGCATTAGCAGGATCTGTAGTGAAGTTTTCTCTTCTGGCACATTCTAGTGTGTGACTCACTATTTTTAAAGCTATCCCACAGGGATAGACAGTCATTTGTATAAATGACTAAATGGCAAGTAACTACTTTTGTTAAAAGACCTTTTCTCTGAGATTCGCCTTTCACTATCTCAGAATGAAGGGGTACGTCCAGCGTCTCTGTGGCATTAGTGTAAACAGAATGTAGAAAGACATGTCAGGTTCATATTGGTTGTAATGGCAAACAAAGCTGTGTTCCATAGGGATGTAAATTTACGGCACATCTCTTTGAATCAGAGACAGTCTGCTAGCTTATGACAGTTTTCACTTTGCAAGGCCTCTGGCATATCATTGTCCTCTGTACTCAATTTTTAGAACAAATCCTTGGTGAGAAATGCAAAAATAATGCAAATTAAAATGAGCACATTGTTATCCTGGGATGTTGGTTATAGGAAATCAATCAGTTGCTAGTGAATTTTGCGGTTGAGAAACTGACAGTTACCTATTGTTGCATAGCTGATTTACAAAAAAGTTTATATATATATATATATATATACACACACACACACACACACAGACGCTTCTTAGTTATAACTTTAATCCTTTAAGACAGTCATCACCAGGGAAATGACAACACTGACATCTGACATATGTTGTGGCGAAACATATTTGGCACTGAGAGTCACATGACTTCCCACACTCCTCTCTTTCAACACACTTCCTCAGGCACCTTATCTGTCGTAAAGTTCTGGTAACTTTCATGTGTCCGCTTATATTTAATTTTGTTATGTGATTAATAATTTGGGTTTCCATCTCTTTGTGTATTCAGTTCCTGGGGGTTATGTTTAGAGGGGGTACAACAAATATATTCTTTAAAAATAGTCATAGGAGTGGGGGGGGAGGGGGGGGGCACAACTGACAGCATTACTTTGGTCACAGATGTCTGTAAATATATTAGGAATCAGAACATTTGACAGAGCAGACCAAATGAATCCAACTCAAATGGAGTCCATCCTTCCGCATGCATCTCTCCCCCATATCTTTTTCAACTTGTGGCTTCAGTGACTCAGTCATTACGTCCCTGTTAATAGATTGGAACCACTCACATGAAGTGCTGACCTCTTTATTTCTGAGAAGGTCACCATTAAACACAGCTCCCTAAATGTATCTGCTATCAGTTTCACTGGGAACCGTCAGCTGACGGTGACTCGCCATTCAGTTGGCAGTGGTGCCACCAGATTGAGCTGAGATCTGAAGAGCAGTAGGTTTCCTGCTGAAAAGGGCAAAGGGTGGACTCTATAAAACCATGGTCCCTTTTTCTTTAAGTCAGTCTGATCCTCTGCGTCTTTGCTTTTGGACCGTCAAACTTCACTACATATGGTCAACAGTTTTCTGCAACACCACAGAGGACACTTTGCCTTCAGTCTTCATCTTAGTCTTCAGCTTTATGAAGTTCACCGCTCCAGACAAAGTCTCCTGTCATACGTTCTCAGAAAATAGCTGTGAGATGCTTCCAGAAAGTATTGTCATAACCACTTTAAATCCAGCCGGAAGCTGAGATTCGCTCCCACATATCAACCAAACATACCCCACCACCTTCTCTAGCCTCTTAGATCACTAGTATACAGATGCTCCTCAACTTACGAACGCGTTACGTTCCGAATGGCCATTCAGTCCTCTTCCTTCATTTGTCTGAAAGTTCGTAAGCTGAAAGTTCGTAAGTAGAAGAGCGTCTGTACTTTGGACCCAGACTGCAGACATTTCGTTGGCACAATGGCCCAGATGGTTAAGCTCATTGGTAAATGTAGGGCACTGGAGTTTAGGCAGATGGGTTCAGTGATGATGGGAATGTAGGGCTTCTTGTTTGGGGGGATGGGGAGACACTCTACCAGACTCCAGATATGGATCATATCCTATAATTAAAACATTGATTCATAGTTTAAAGAACAATATGATGGTCACCCGTAAAGTAATACATCTGGGAGTTTTCCAATGTGATGAGCCAATACTGTCCAAAAATCCTAAAGGCTAAAGTGGAATTTGTGTGCTACTGACAAGCACCGACTGTCTTGTCAGACTCAAATTATAGTTAATGTGATTTTTGAATGAATAACAGCAGGGAAGCACAATAAAATGCTGCGATGTATTAAAATTGCATCCAGTGTGTCCTGTACTAAAACTAATTAAAATAATCAGTTCCTGATCCTGGTCAGATGGCAGAAGTATGAAAATGAATTGTCCTTCTGATTGTGGCTGTTGCTTCCTCACCGCTGCTCGAATGCACAATTCAAGAAGCACAGTCATGCCGTGACACAGAGGAGTTTTAGCTAAAAATGAGGGATCCTCACAGCAACACAAACTACCCAGCTTTACACCAAAGTCAGTATAGCTCTGCAGTAAGTCACAGCGCAGGAAGTGATATACTTATATAATGAGTTTTTCATAAGTCATTTTCATGGGAAGGGAATCTTCAGCTAATCCAGTATTTAACTTACAGGTGCATCATAGCAACTGTTCAAAAAAGTCTAGTGACTTGCCTTGTGAAAAATTATCAGCTGTATTTCCTGACACAAGAATCAACTGAGTGATTAAATGTTAAAGAATGTACAATGCAATATGTTTGGGACTGATAGATAACATTCTTCAGTCAGGGACAGGAAGCCAAATAAATCCATGTACTTGGTTCATCAAACAAAAAAAAACAACAACTGAGGATTAAGTCCATATATAGTTTAAAGAAAAAGTACATGCATCATAAATGATTTCGACATCACTGTTGAAAGGAAAACATTACCCCATACTTACTGAGAGATTAAAACAGAGCTCTGAAGCTCCATAGATAGCTTAGAGACAGAGGGGTGAGTCTATGTCAAATGGTCAGAAGAGGGGAAAAAAAGTGAACTGAAACTACAAGAGGAAAAAATACTTCTTTTATCCCATGACCACTGATTTGCAATAGCACAAGTCTACTACATTTATTAGTTGAATAAAAACATTAAATTACAGCAGATTATTTCGTGACAGACACACACTGTACACTGCAATGACAAACATCTTACACGATCAAACGTGGCTTTGGATGTGCAAAAATTTGTGTACTTATGGGACGTGTGTTCAAGTTTTGGGCAAACCTAAAATGCAGGTTCTTTTCCAGGAGTGCTATCATGTGTTCCCATATAAAACTTACCAATGTTCACCGCTATAAGCTGTCTGGGGTTTAGGGGAGCACTAACAGGGCTCTACATGTGCAATGGCCACCAGCTGTGAATGATGTGTACTGGGCTGGTTTGAAATGTAAATCTAGTAGTGTATATATAAAATGGTTTGTGATTTCTAAATGCATGTTGCCATGGACAGCGATTCAAGATGAATAGCATTGTGTTATACAGGCAGCAGATGTCTGTGGGACCCCAGGGTAACGCTCCACACACCCCCCAGATATGCTGCCCACAGTGGTGGGGAAGTTACTCACAAAAGTAATCCATTACAGACAGAGGTGGAAAAATCAGGTCTGGAAAGTACAAATCCAAACCATGGTTTTGTTTCAACCAACCAGTTGAGTATAAAGAGTGAAAGTCATAGAGTACTTAACCTGTTTAGTTGGAATAAAACCATGGCCTGGATTTGTGCTTTCCGGACCTGAACTTTCCACCTGTCTGTAATGGATTACTTTTGTGAGTAACTTCCCCAGCTCTGGCTGCCAACTTCTGCAGTGCAGGGAAGTATTGCAGGTGAACCTGTGATGTCCCCACCATTTTCTGTAGTTTCTAGAGCCCGTGCACCATGATGAATCCTCAGAGCCGTAAGACCAGTGTCTATGGACTGCCTTGATTTGTACTGGGCCTTTCTCTGCATGGTGTAGAGAGACAGAGAGAGGACTGACACCAGCCAGCATCGGGGAACATTGTAGAAGGTGTCTTCTGATCCATTTTGCAGAAAACCAGTCAAATACACCACAATGGAGCACTTTCTTCCAAATATCATGCCCTTCTCATAGGCGTGGTCAAGTAGTACTTCCCCCGAACAAAAAGTGTAATTTAACATGTTCGGTCAGATGGAGGAAACCATTTTAAGAAATATCAGATTTGTTGAGCAGTGGGATAGCGCCCGAGGGCCATGTGGTGGCGCTGTGCACAGCACTGGATCTGTGGTGATACGATGTGGTCCAGAGCCAGCGATGTCACCATCAGCGCCGGCTGGGAAGGCGGCTGGTCCCCTGCACTCTCTCGCCGCTCTGGCTCGAACCTGTGGCTAAGGTTACTTCCTCCAGGAAACTGTTAGGAAATGGACATGGAGCAGCTACGTCACAACACTGAACCTCGGGTAGCAGGTCATCCGGAAAGATCTGCTAGCGTTTCATGCTTTCCATTTCACATGCAATTCTGAGAACATCACCTCATGCTGATGTATGTCACTTAATCTTGCTTATGCTGACAATTTCTGATCCTGAAAAAATAAGGTCTTTCGTATACAGAGACGCAAAGGCAGCAAACCAAAATCATTAGCTCACATTTTGCTCACTAAATGAAACAAAAAATAAAAAAACTCAGCTAAGCTGCACACATTGTTTCCCAATGTGTCTGAGAGGCTCATATTTAACACTGTCTACCTTTCCCTCCTCTATCTGTCTCTTACTGATATCCACTCATGGTTCTGCCTCTATGTCCAGTGTGTGCTGTTAAACTCACCTCACTTCCTGGACATCCAGCACAATTCCAAGTATCGCATATTCCTCTGAGCTCTCACAAAACTGTTAGTAAATATTACTGACACCTCTGGCAATGCAGGCGGACTTGCCAGTCCATTCCAAGGTGGACTGGAGGATAGATGCCTCTCTAGGAAAAATGAGCTTTGTTCATGTATCGAACGTCAGAACATGAGGCACTCCAAGCCAGTGCCGAAGAAAGACAGATTCATTCTACTTTTTCTACGCGTGGCTTAATCCCACGACCGAACGCGCAGACCTACTCAGCTCCAATGCCCAGAGGCACTGTGTCAATGGGAGAATCTCCGAGACAAAGGTCACTTTGCTGGTCCATGGTACGCAGCCAAGTGATAGATATCAGATGTACAGCAGTCCAGAGGGGGAACCACTACAGGATTACAGTGTCTTTGTGAGGCACTGAGAGCATTATGGGGAGTTACGCTGCGTAATCTCATTGGAGGGGTAGAACATTAATCCAGGGAAAAATAGAAACACTTAAAAACGCATTAGGGTGCCATCCATGGTGTATCACGGTACTCCGGGATTACAGCAGAACAATGGGCAGCCTCCCCCGCAAACTCGCCACAGCCCTCAGTCCTCATTAGAGATAAAGAGGACGTCTCACCCACAACAGCAAGAATGGGGCACAGTCTAGTCAGTGTTAAATCATGACCTGTATAGAATTGTAGGCATTGGACACCTTCTAGTCAACTAAACTATTTAGCTGAGAAAAATGGTGTCAGTGATCCCAGTTCATTACCACTTTATACTGGAAGCAATTTTCTTGGGAGGACACAATGCGATAGCATGAAGTGGCTGTAGCAAAGGAGGAAAATCCGTATCGAGGCCAGCTTGTACACATTCACACTGCTGCAGCAAACGTGCCCTAACTAACCTGTATTTGGAACATTGTGTTGTGACGAAAATGGTCATGTGATCGCATTTCCCGAATGACAACCTTGAGAAAACATCCCTCTCTACATGGCGGATTGGAGGGGAAACATACAAACACTTACTAGTGGGTTCTTTCATAAAGGACAGTTTAATAATTAGGACTGAATAACAGATCGCAAGCAAGGTCTGGAACTCAAGATGTTCGATTCCATTATTATGGAATTATGTCGCTTCTGATTGCCTGGATGCTAATTTGTGAGGTTGGGTCCTCAAGGTCATCGGTGTGATGTGAACATCGGTGTGATGTGAACACGCCTGCAGCATTGTGATTAGATAAAGGGAGCATATGGGATCACCATGATTGTGCAATCAGTACTGTGCTTTTCCAAAGAAGCCAAAGCAATCAGCTTACATTTAACTCAGTGCTTTAACCCTCCAGAGCAAAAAAAATGAGGGAAACCACAACCGGCGGTACGACTTAATCACACTGCTGACATTATCCATCCATCAAATTCACCCATTAGAAACATCTGGTTCATACAAACACTGTACAGAAATATAAATGGATCAATAAATTGAGTGTAATAGCTTTAGGATATTCTGGGTGTTTGGTGAATTTTAAACTTCATATTCTAGACATGATCCATTAAATCAACAGAAAATATTAGGAACTGATTGCTTGTCTGCTAGGAGAGGCAGCGACACCTAGCTAGTCGGTATTATCAGTAAATTACAGGAACTGGTGGGAACCGGAATGAGTTACTTAAAATGCGTAGGAAACCGTGCAAAAGGTTTAAAAATAACATGGCAGAAAGAGGCGACAAGCACTGTATGTAGGCCGAACTTTCCACTTCATATGTGCCTGTATTTCATGCATTAGGGAGAGAAAGTGTTAAAAGGCAATCTGTAGGGATGACAGAGGGGGTTTGTGCAAACCTGGATTACAGAGGCTCACTGCGGAACAGCATATGGTGACACTTAGAGCCGTGTGCTCCAACAGGGGCCCACAGTTGCACAGTTCACTCTCTACACATGCGCCTATGCTGGGTTGGCATGTGGTTTGTCTGTGCAAATGTGTGCGTGCACCCAACAGACTGTAGCAACCTTGTCACCCAACACTAGACGGCTATCAATAATACAGCAGCCCATCAGAAGAGATGCTCCGCTCCGCTCCGCCTTCCCCCATTCGTTTCCCGCCTAAGGGTCAAACCAGACAAAATGTGCCATATTTCCGAGGAAACTCAATATCCCAATCTGTCACATGACACTGCCCCCCTCCCCTTTTAACCTCATTCACCACATTGGCTAATCTTCACATCTGATAGGCGAATCCTTAAATGTAGAAAAGTTGTATCAACATAGCCCGCTCGCTTCTCTCAGCCATCACCCTGAAATGTACGGAAGGCATTGCCATCATGCATTACCTTGGGATCACTTAACATGCTAACCGTCAGTGTACATCTGATTTAACCCCAGCTTATGTGTAACACACAGATTGGATTGCATATCCATTCATAATTTAGGCTTTGTTTATCCTGACCTGCTTGGCTCCTCCCCATGTGTCGGAAGATAGGCCTCTCGCTACCTGTGACTCCTCCCTCTCCTGCAGCCATTACATGTGTCGGAAGATAGGCCTCTCGCTACCTGTGACTCCTCCCTCTCCTGCAACCATTACATGCGTCGGAAGATAGGCCTCTCGCTACCTATGGCTCCTCCCTCTCCTGCAGCCATTACATGTGTCGGAAGATAGGCCTCTCGCTACCTGTGACTCCTCCCTCTCCTGCAGCCGTTACATGCGTCGGAAGATAGGCCTCTCGCTACCTGTGACTCCTCCCTCTCCTGCAGCCGTTACATGTGTCGGAAGATAGGCCTCTCGCTACCTGTGACACCTCCCTCTCCTGCAGCCGTTACATGCGTCGGAAGATAGGCCTCTCGCTACCTGTGACTCCTCCCTCTCCTGCAGCCATTGCTTCCATTTTCTGCTACTTCCAACCCAGAGGCCCCAGATCAGGAAGACAAAGGCAACAACGTCCAATAAGGAAGGCGCAAAGCAAGCCGAGCCTAGAGATTTGAGATGGACCTTGATTTGGGTAATAGGATGGTATGTTGGGGGTGTTTTGCGAAATTTTATTATTAACATGTAAAATATCAGTTTTGCTTTTGAAAATAGTCAAAATACCGTATACCACAACATACGTCTGGACGGATTGAAAAATTAGATGCCGCCCAAACATAGATGGATCATGGCAAAACATTCTGTTTACAGTGATATCGCAACCTTCCTGTAATTTTAGAACCTGAGCTGGCCAGACTGAGCTCGAGAACAGGAAGTGTGTTAGCGGAGGCTGTGGCGATGCTATACCAACGCGGCCGGCACCGAAACGGCTCGCCACCGCCGATAGGGTGCATGTGCGCATTTCCTCTGTGTGGGCACCAGCAGATACGACGGGGCATTTTCTACAAAGCGTGTGATTTGTGACTGGCGATAGCTGCCAGCAGTTAAATAAGTGAGGCTTCTGCTTCCCAATTCTCACGTACAGGAATATGTAGAGAGCAAAACGACAATGTGCGTCATTTTACCCTCGTGCCTTTTTTTAATTTGTGTCTAAATTCTGTACTAACACAGTCATAGTGCATTTCCTGGCAACTGGCATAAGCATATTATATATAAATACACACATACATACACACACACACACACACACACATATATATATATATATATATATTTCATAGTCATGGGGACAAAAAGCCCTAGTATTTGTTGTAACAAGAGACTGGTATAATAAATTAGCCTCAGTCTCAAATCAATTGTGAGCAAAACAGGAAGATGAGGCTAAAATGCGGGAGTGGTGGTATTATTGGAGGATATTACAGAGGTCAGCGGACGCGCTCCCCTCATTGGACCAACGGGAGCGAAGGTGGGGCAGAGACACACCCCCTACGCCTAGGGGACAGATCAGGGGACCCGCATGGCCTCATCGGGGAAGAGAGACGGTCCTGATACGCTGAGCCTCACTGTACTTCATGCCATCATTCATATTTCTTTCATTTGTACATTTTTCAATCATCTTTTTCTCTTGCGAAATACAATCAGCTGAAACTCACGATGCCATAATACTTCAAAGTATTGGCCAGCTGTAAAATATGAAGTATGGCTTAAACTGGCATCTGTAAAAGTACATAAAATATGAAGTGTTGATTTACATCAGCATATATAATTGATGCATGTATAAATATTATATTTCAAATGAGCCATATTTCTGTGAATTCCAACCTCAGAATGTAGGTGTTCTCATTCCAGGAGAGGGAAGCAGCCGGGCATGACGCGTGTGGATATTCCTGTGACTCCGCCTCCCCCCACACACACGTGCCTGTGCACGCGTGGCTCGTTGGTATTAAACGAGGCCCAGAAAAGGGGCATCGACGGGTATCGCTCGGAGGAACAACGGGCCGTCAGGTGCTCGGCGCTGATGGAGGACAGCCAGCCCGTCCAGCCGGAATTCGGGGCGGTTCTCCCCCAGCGCTTCGGCACGGCACCGGAATGGATCCCTGCCAAGGGCACAGCTGTGCGCACGGGTGCCGGGTGCCAAGCCGGAGGCTCCCGCTGCCGTCTGCACGCCACCCAGAGGCCCAGCTGCAAGGTCCCGTCCACGTGCCGCCACGCGGTTCACATTATGCCACGTGACAATCAGAGAGCGAGCGCTAATTACACGCTGCGCACTGCTCCTCCTGCTCCTCCTCCAGTGCGGCTGCTCATTCGCTGCCAGAGCACGAGAGCGGTGAAGCCGACCCACCTGCACGCCCCCCTCCCTCTGGGTCTCCCTGGATGGGAATGGGCTCCACCTGCCTCTGGGAAGGTAGCAGGTCACTGAGACCCCCGCCAACAATCACCGGAGCTGCTGGACTGGCATTAAATCAGCCTTCACCTTTGTTTACGCCTAACGCAACAACAAACACCAGATTCCGGTGCACATGGAAAACCTTCCGGAAGGTTCCTCTCCCTGCCAAGTGACACCGATATCGGTCTGATTGTCCCCTACTGTATTTCTAGTGTATTTAAACAATTATCTGGCAGCAGTGCTCCTAAAGAGCCATGTCTAAATTGGATGGCTTTCACCCCCCCCCTTGGAGAAAAGGCTTAAACTCTGCTCCAACCTCCCCCCCCCCCCCCCCCCCCCCCCCCCCATGTGGCACGTTTCTGGGGGAAACGCTGAGCCTTTGCAACATGCAGTGGCCCCAAGTGGGGTAATCAAACCCCCAGCATGTGCGCTGACATCAGACTGGGTGCAAGCTGTCGCAGTGGCAGACCTGAGGTGACACACGTCAGCCCTGTTCCCACGGTGATCGCTGTTTCGCCAACAGGTGCCGTTTCGGCTGGCTGGGTTCTGCAGTCTACCCAACGCTGTGGCCTTCTCAGCAGGGCTCCCAGCAGCTGTCTCAACACCCCCCCCCTCCCCCCAGCTGCCTCTTATAACCTCCCTCACCCTTGGCTCCTGGCCTGGAGATTTCAACCAAAAGCCCTCTTAAACATTTCTGTAATTGCTGCTCTAACAACTGGGCATTGATGGGTCTGAGTGCAGGGAGCAGATGGGGGAGGGGGGGGGGTAATGCAGAAAGAAAATAAAGAAAAATAAAGTGGGAATTAAAGAAATGAAAGAAGATGGAAACGGAAAGAGAAATTGAGAAGGGAGGAGGGAGGAGGGATGTGGCCTGCGGATGCCTGCCGACTGGAAGCCCAGTTGCAGTGCAGGACGGCCCTAAATGTCCACCTGCCAAGCAGCTACCGCACGTCTGTGATCATGGGCGCATTCCCCGCAGCACACGGCCAGTCACCATCATGCCACTATAGCTGACCTTTTGGTGTTGTGGATGCTGGTCCCTCCAAGTACGATGCGGACCCCCGGCATGGTGCGGTTAAAGTTGTAAACAGTCAGCGCCTCCTCATACGTGGCCCCCCCGATGATGAACACGATGATGTCCTGGGGCCTGCCGAGAAAGGAAGCGGACAGGTGATGGGGCGGGTAAAGGAAAGTAACTTCCAGAATCAGCATCAACGCTTCAGTGCAAGAGTGCACGATGAGGTTAAAGGTCAGGGTGCCAGGCCAAAGGGCACCCCTCCCTCAGCTGTCAGCCCCTCCCCTCCTCCTTCCATCGCTATCTTGAGGTCACAGTCAAAGGAACGATTTTGCCCAGTCAGCTGAAAGCCACATGTGTCACAGTGTGACTGACCCGCATCTGCAGTGCTCAGTCAATGTGGGAGCAGAGCCGACCCATTTAATGCCGGCTGCAGAGGATGCGTCGGTGCCCATAGACCGGGGTGAGAGAAGCTGTCCTCTAGCCAGACTCCATGTTTGTGACAGACTGGCTGTTTACTCTCCCCAGTCTATTTTAGCCAGCCCCTCCCCTACTGTCCAAAGGGCCACACGTAGCTGAAGGTGGGGCGGGGGATCAAGAATTAGAGGATGGGGGGGGGTGCATCACCTGGCGGTGGCTGCGAATTGCAGGATAACATATCTGAGCGACACGGACCCCGTCGTAGCACAGGCCAGTGAATTCCAACCCCCCCCCCCCCCCACCTTACAGGGGGACACAGGCTTGGAGTACCAAGGCTGAGAGACTGTCAGGCCTGCATTGTGTTTGCAGAGCCAGCTGGAGCGCCGGGAACAAACAACTCGAGGCAAAGGGGGAGTTTCCATTACTATTTGTGACACAGCAGGCGGGCAGCCGCCCAGGTGTCACACTTAAGGCGGGGAGGGATACATCTTATCCGCTGAGCCTGTTCTTACAGATACACACCGAACCATCATCTTGCTATTCTGTTACTAGAATGCCTGCAGGTCAAATTACGAGAAAGGATTCAAAACACAATGTACAAAAAATCCATAAAGGCAGATAATATGCATTAGCGATGTCAGAAATAAAACAGGAACGGAGACAAACGCTCGCACAGTTCACCTGAATGAATGCAATAAACGTGGGTCTTTCAATGCATATGCAAGCAAAAAAAAGCATTTTAATGCAGCAATGAAAGTCGATGGCAGTTGAAGGCAGTGCCCACCTGTCTCTGAGGGTGCTGGGGCCTAGATAGGGGAACTGGCTGTCCTTAAGGCGGCCTTTGATGAGCTGGTCCAGGGTGTCGTGCAGCAAGGGCTGGTGCTGGGTGTACACATTCTCCACACCCTGGCGGACATAGGGTTAGAGAAGCGGGATCGTCCTCATTTACAGACCCACTACATTGTCAGATACTGACACTCCTTTAATGATGTAAATAAGTGACCCCTTCAGCCCCAAATCAGTCACTGTAGCCATTAAATGTGAAAAAGAGTAATAAACTAACACATAAAAAAAGATAATGTGCCTTTGAGGGACATTATTAAAGGCTTAGTTGTTTATCTACTTGGGTTGCAAACCAACAAAAATGATCAGCAAGCCAGAAGCTCAGTTGCCCGCCTCTGAGAACATTTTGCAAATATGCTATAGAGACACTTTCATCTTGTACCTTGAGACCTTTGAAGAACTGTTTGGTGATGGCCACCGCGTCTGTGGGCGTGATGAGGTCACTTCCTCTAACACGCTTCCCGCCATACTCTACCACAGACTGCACCATCTGTAACACAGTCACAAACACAGTCACACGACGCTAGAACACAGTCTTTACCCAGGTAACTGCAACAGCAGCTATCAGTCAATAAAAATAAAAAATATAAAAAATGATCGGCGTCGTGGGACGGCACTCATGGGCCGTGCTCCTCTAAATGAGCCATCATGCCCCCCAGCAACATCCACTAGGGACACCATCTTTTATTTCAGTTTTATTTTTAATATAACTATTCATTCTAAAACAAACAAACCAATCTTTTCTACAGATCATTTGCTTATTCTACACTTCAGCATCGGCATCCCGCCCATCAATAACTTATACCGTCAAATTTCTACAGTATATTGATATATTTTCAAAACAAGATTTAGGATAATACAATACCCATGGCATCAAGATACTTTTATTCTGCGTTAAAATTAGGGCTACATTAAAGAATTGGTTTAAACACAAACCAATAGTATTCCTCCCTGGATGTAAAAAACATGAGGACTTTGACTTTGTATGTTTTTGTTTTTCTTTTCTGTCTCTAGTGCTCCAATGTACAGCACTTTGTGTCAACTATGGTTGTTTTAAAGTGTTTTATAAATAAAGATGGTATGGTGTGGTATTGTGACGTTGCATACACTCTCAGAATCCACACCGAAAATCAAACCAATTCACTTAGCGTTTCACGGGGAATTTGATGGAGGTTCATTTCGTTTAAAAACATTGACAAACGGCTCATAGGTTAAAAATAAAGTAATTTGCAATATTCATTTTGTCAAACAGCAATAACTTAAAATAAGGGCCTTTTCAGTTATTACGCACACGGTTAATGGTTATCAGGCTTCTGTTTTTAGCGCCAAGTATTATTGCTGCTGTTTCTAAGGAATTTCCCCATTGTGGGATTAATAACGTCAATCTAATCTAATCTTTTAGGTTTAGATTTTAGTTTTTCATAAACATCTGCCTTCTGTTTTAAGAGCCTCGGTGCCTGTGATCGGAAGGTCGCCGGGTCGAGCCCGGCTTTGGCAGAATTGTCGTGTGTCCATGGGCCTTCAGCTGGCCGTTACTGCCAGGTTTGCTCCTACCTACATATGTATCTATGTCATGGAAAGCAAGATGGGGGAGGCAAAAAGAGAATTTCCCCACGTGGGATCAGTAAGCTGTCATGATAAACAGATTAAAAATGCTGTTGGTAGACAATGTGGAGTGAAAGGGTTTTATTTCCAGGCTGTTTTACTCGACACATGCAACACAGATTTAGACCTAGTTAGAGCTTATGTTTGTGCTTATTTTGAGACTCCTGGTTGCAATAATGGAAAGTGTAGTTATAGGGTAGTTATAGTAGTATATTTGCACACTACCAGTCCAAAGTTTGGACACACCAAGCTGCCTACAAGAGAGAGTGATAGTGTCGCATCACATGACCTGGTCACCTGACCTAAACACAGTAGAAAAGATTTTGGAGGAGTTTGACCAGAGAGTGAAGGAAAAGCGGCCAATGAGAGCTCAGTATGTATGTGGGACCTCCTTCAGAACAGCTAAAAAAGCCCCCCCAACCCCCAAAAAATATCATTTTTGTTTAATACTTTCTTTGGTCAGTACATAATTTCATACGTGTTATATTATAGTTTTGATGTATTTAGAAGTGTTTATTTGTACTGTTCTCTACATTTCCGTGGGTATGTCTCTCCAAACATTTGAATGGCACCGTGAATATGTCTGTGTGTGTGTGTACACACACATATATATCGGGAATCGCTATTCTGTCCAAGAATATTGAGATATGGTTTTTGGTCCATATCTCCCCCCCCATGAAAATCTTGGGCCGGTCCATCAGATTTGGTCTGGTACCGGCCCCAATAACACTTTAGATTAAGGTCTGCTCCTTAACTGTTAATACACTATTACTACTCATTTGATAATATATTAGTAGAAAGAAAAACAAAAATGTAGAAATATATTACAATCATATCTTGCTCCTGGTAACTAAGGACCACTGCACTTGGGTAAGAGCAGCGTGTAAGTCATTTGCAAATATAAAAACAATGGGTTAGTAAGCATACTCAGAAATAACACAGTAGTAACGGTTTAATAATGGTTAAGGAGTAGACCGTACAAAAATGTTACCCAAAAAAGGACCAGCAAAAGTGGAGTCATCCCACATCAGTGCTTTCGCATGGTCCTCTGAACATCCCCCGTTTCCCAGAATGCACCGGGCATCACGCTTCTCACCTTGCGGTACCGCTCAGAGACGCCCTTCCGGGTGAGATCCTCCATGAGGCCAGGCAGGTTGCTACTGCTGTGCCTCTCATAGCGAAGTGCGTAGAGCATCACCAGGCGCACGGCATCCACCTCACACACTCTGGGGTTCTGCAGGAGCCTCCGGACGTTCTGAAGGGAACGGGGGGGGCGGAAGTGCTCATTAAGCCAGAGAAACTGCGCATGGGAAAACAGGAAGAAGCACGGGAAAAGGACGACAAAAATGAAATAAGAATGAAGACCGTAATGCTTGATTGGATGGTATATCCTCAACTGTGGAATCAGAAGACACAGGTGACAAAGACATTTTAGGATCTGAAGGATCGTTCTAACCAGCAGTGATGTTGTTACATACATGTCACCTAAAACAACGATTAGTTATCCTTGTGCTTCACAGAATGACTAAGAATTGTAATACTAAAGAATCCTTAAAAATGAAGGCAAAAGTTGTGTGAGAAGTCATGGTGACCTTTCCAAAGTTCCAGTGAGGAGGGGTTCACAGTTCCCAGGCCCTGACACAAACCACAAAGGGCACCAGTGGGCAATGGAAGCACAAGTGTCCCATTCTTCTCAAGCTTCTGCACCGCTTTCTGATTGCCCCTTTTCTCCAGTCACTGAGTCACCCAAAATTTCCCACAATCCTCCACTCTCCCAGCCTGTGACGTGAGACACTCAAGCATGGGTGGTCACAAAGTTTAGGAAGCCCCCCCCCCCCCATTGTTAAGTGCTGCTACATTCGGTCACTGCAAATTCCACATCAGTTTTTCTTTCTTCTGTGTCTCCAGAAGTGCGTCACTAATCCCATTTATGTTCGTACAAGTCATAACCTTAAATTCCCCCCCCCCCCCTTTACTGGCACCCAAGTGTGTGCACTTTGTCCTCATGCTGAAGCAGCCCCCGGTAACAATGGTGCAAATGCCAGTGCATCCAGTCTGATGTACTGACAGATTTACACCCAGAAAAAGTATTTTGCTAAAAAGAATAATATTCCTATTTTGTCCTGTATTGTAACAGAGGTAGAACGAAGGTTATGAGTCCCTAAAACATTTGGTGTCCATTACACAGTTGAATCGTCAGCCAGCTGCGGTAATTATAAGATAATGACACAAACGGAACCTGAATTGCTTTATATGTGGCAGCATAGTGTCAGTGAAGTGCCTTACAAACAAGAGCAAACAACACGCTGAAATTTCAGTTTAATGAAGCTGGATGGAGGAACAGCAGATGGAAAAGTGAATGTGCAGCAGTGGTCGGTCTTCCTGGTTAAAGGCTGTGTGCTGTGGGGCAGCCCCCCGTCCATTAGCTGGGGGCTGCACCGTCCCCAGAAGAGGTGCTGTAAAGGGAGGCCCTGGCTGAGGAGGACCTGAGCCGAGCTCAGTCATCTGGGGGGGGTCATAAAGGTACTACTAACTGTATGAGCTCTCCACTCTATTGAGAATAAATTGCCCATGAAGGGGAGAACGGGCAGAAATATCAGTCTCCAGTACGTATGTTCTGTTAGGACCCAATGCCTCTCCAACACTCGCTGTCAAAACCCCGTTTCAGCTGAAGGGGGAGGCTGCAGGCTGCAGGACAATCGCACGAGCCTCCCTTAGGGAAGGCTAACCAGGCTGCAAGACAGTGCCGATAGTGTGTGTGTGTGTATGTGGGAGTGAAAATATTAAAAGCTTTTCCACACCCACATGAATAAATCATGCTACGGACAGTATTTCTGTGTGTATGAGTGAGATCTGAATTATGACAGCAGCCATACCACTGCAGATATTCCGCACAATTAGCATGCAATCTCAGCCAGACGTGCAGACTGCTAACCTGCTGCGCGCTGGAGTGGTCGTTCTGACAGGCCAGTTCCTGCTCCAGCTCTGACACCTCCATAAGCTGCCTCTCGCTCACCAGCCGCGACAGCTCGCCCACCACGGTCACGTGCTTCGACACCGTGCCCGACATCTTCTTAAACTGTGGGTAGTTGTCCACAAAGGCCTGACCGGAGAGAAGCAGAGCTTATCAAACGATCTCTGTTTATCATTACAGGAGACCAAGAGGGTGCATCAGTCTTACTTCAGCATTGCATATCCTGCGGTTTTAGACTAATGAGACAGGCATATTAATATTTCATGCAATAAACCAGCACGGATATTGATGTTTTCGCCATTATGCTGCAAGTGTAATTCATCAGGCATGTGTTTTATGCATGTCTGGGATGTCCAGTAAATAAATATGGATCTATGCAATCATGGTGGCACTAGACTCCAGCAATCTCTTGACATAGGCACTTGTTTTTATAGCCTTTGGGCAAAAACCACAAATGGCCTGATACAATCAGCTGTAACGCTTAATGGGTATTTTGTCTGTGGGATTCTTACTCTCATCCCAGTGCTGGTAGCAGAGCCCCCTCACCTTCATGTCTGAAATGGACTCCAGCTTCTGCTGTCCCTTTGGTTTCTTCTTCTGAAAATCCTCCATTAGGTTCTTGATATTTGTCCCAATCTCCCCAAAGTTCAGGTACAGGTTCTGCAAGCAGAATCGGGAGTTTCATTTATGTGCCTTATTACTGCAATTCCCAAATGGCACACTCAAGAGTGGCTCTGATCACCGGACTGTGCCAACAGCCACAGGTGGGAAGTTCAGGTCCAGAATGTACAAATCCAGATCAAGATTTTGTTTCAAACAACCAGTTGAGTAAAAAGAGTCACATTCACTGAGTACTCAGCTGGGTGGTTGAAACAAAACCTAGGTCTGAAAATGCTGCAGGATCTAATCATGGAGCAGCCACTGCTTTCATATACTTCAGTATTTTGAAACCAACCACCCATCCATCTTGTAACCACTTGCTCATTACCTGGGTTACATCCTGTACAGATTACACACATGCAGACGACACAATACCGGCAATTTTGAGACGCCATCTCATCTAACTGCATATCTTTAGTAGTTAGAGAGAGAAATAACACAGCGGTTCTGCTGGCCTCACTCACGTTGCAGTAGAACTCATCGTTTTCAGCAGACAGCACCACCTCCCGCAGGTCCTTGTTGATGCCTGGAACCCGGGACAGGTCGATGCGGTTGTTGTTGAGGCCTAAGAGCTCATGCACCATAGCCTGGTACGTCCACTGTGGGGAGCATAAACACAGAACCGTGGCTAAGCCCCAGAGGCCAGTTCAGTAAAGTGTAAATGCAGGCCATTTCAGCTCTGAAATGACTCACTTGATAATTCTGACCTCTAGTGGCCTATACTGTGTATTAACTGAGGACAACAGAAATGTAAATTGCAGAGATGCACTCACTGACTAGCCCTGATCATGGCCTAAAGGTGGGGTGCAGAGAAAATGAATAAATAATGGAAACAATTCAGAGAAAATCCACCACATATAACCAACAATCACACCAATATTATAATTATGTTTGAAGCTACAATTCAACAAATACATGTCAGCTTTATTTCAAATATTTTTCTTAACCTTACCAGTGAAAGCATTAAATAAATTAAATAATTAGTATTATAAAGACATTGAATAATAGAATTGTTTTACCAACCAAATAACTACTATAAATTAATAGCGACAGAAGTACTTTATCTTTTGTGACACAAGTAAAAATTAAGTGCACTATGGATCCAGAATCCATGCATGTCCTGAGCAGGTCGACTAATTCAGACCTGGTTGAGCAGAGGAGTAATGGCATCGTCACTGCGATCCAGGATAAGCAGAAGGGGAGGCACCTCTGTCTTCCTGAAGTCAAAAAGCTCATACTCCTTAGTGATGATTTGCTGAAAGACACGAATGACACAGCAGTCAATGTCATTGGCTTATTTATTATTGCTCAATGCCATTGGCTCATTTGTTATTGGCCGACGCCATTGGTTCGTATGTTACAGGTAGATGTTATTGGCTCACACGACTACGGTTTTAACTTTGTCACAGCCACCAACAACACCTTAAACCATGCAGTGATTAATGGAAGCTATAAAAATAAGCCACCAACCAAAAAATACAGGATAAATATTTAACATCTGGTGCATGGTTTCAGTTAAACATTAAATATTTAAGGAAATGAAGCAGTAGTCAGAATCCAGTCTGGTTTTCAGATATATGTATGTATATTTGCACCCTGCATGGGAAATACAGGAAAAAGGTGCCCGCTATGAATGGGGAATACGGGCATGAAGTGCACCCTATAAATGACTGGGGTGTCTGGACGACCCACCTTAACGCTCTCTGCCAGCCTCTTGGCCATGTCAGAGGAGAGCTGGTATCGAATCATGGGACACTTTTTGAGAGCCAGCAGCACTGACGTCAGACCTTGAGTAGAGCGTGGAAGCAGACTGGGCTCCCAGCTACGACCCTGAGGGAGGAAAACGATGCTGCAATCACCGGTGCGGCACTTGGGTTACATTTTCATGCAATAATCATCCCGAGAATATTGAATGCTATTTAATCAAGCAAAATCGTTTACTTTTACCTACATGTGTATCTGTACACTTTGTAATAATTCAGCACAGCCCTCTAGTTCCCTTGAATCTGCAAAACCCTCCTTACCCTGGCAACACCCAGCAGGTTGAGGGAGAAAAGGTGAGGATTTGCTGCAATGAAGTCGCCGTAAAATTCCTGCAGCCATGAAAAGAAGAAGCGTGTCTGTTACACAGATAAATCCCACACTTTTGGATGCAAACACTACAGGCTCAACCTGCTGAGTAGCCAACTGAGGCTTTTCATTTCCGTTTGTGACCTTTGGAAAAACAAAGTGGAAAGAACGACTCCAAAACAAGCTGTATGTTCCTCAAGGTGTGTGAAATAGGGTTCTATAAGTAAAGGAGCTGAAAGTCGTCCTTTTTTTTTTTTTTTTTTTAGATGGACATGAACATTCTCTCCAACATGTCTGGTGAAAACCAAATGTTAAATTCCTCACTAAGAATGTCATAATAATGGTGGTGTCCTGAACCTGGAAAGCATCCACAACTTGAAAGAACTATGAATGCTACATCCACCATAAGGTTCTAAAGGAGAATATCAGACCTATCATCTATAAAGTCATTTAATGGTGATATTTTCTTAATCCCCATGTATGGGGGGGGGGGGTTCTCTTTTTGCCTACCCCATCCTACTCTCTTTGAGACACAAGCTTGGGGGTTGCAGCGAGGGGTCAGACATCTGTGGCACCCATGGGGCTGCATGTTAAGGGCCTTGCTCGAGGGGCCACAAACATGCGACTATTCTGCCGAGGCTGGGCTCGATCCAGCAACCTTCCGATCACGAGCGAAGCAGCTTAGCCTGCTAAGCCACAAGGGATCAAGGTATTGCTCCTTGAAGAACAAGAGAATTTACATATAGACTGGCTAAACCGGAGACCTAAGTTCCCTAAAAACACAAGTAAACTCATAACTGCAACTCGTTTGAAAAATCTGGAACAGCGTTGCAAACAGGAGTGGGCCAAAATGCTTTTAAGTTGCTGGCACTATTAATCAGTAAGTACAGGATCGGCGTTTCATTGCACATGACCACAAGATACTTTTCAAATGGACAATGGGTGTTGCATAACTTTACAAGTGACTAAAGTTCAAGTTGCCTCAAATAATATTTGGTTTAACATTCTGTAAGCACATAATTAATATTTTTAAAATTCAGACCGGGAGCAAAGATTTTCACATGATACTGTATTTGAAGATGGCAAAGGGTCCCCACAAAGACCGACTATAAGAACAGGCACTCTCACAATCAGCAGTTATAATTACTAAAAGTGTGGGACAGGCAGTGGACACAGATCGGATGGACAGACAAACCTGTACTTCCGCCACCACTTCCTGCTCGTCGGCCTCTGCCAGTGCCTTTATTTCACTCTTACTGATGACGTTGCTGAAATCTACAAGGACATTTCATTAAACTGATGAGAACGGTCAACATGCATCCTTTTAGGAAGGTTATGCAATTGTAATCTATTTTCAGAAAAACTTTAAATCTTCACTAATGAGAGCATATGTAATACTAGATACTGTTAAGTCAAAAGATTCAGCAGACAGAGGATATATACACTTGTGTTTAAATCGAAAACAGATCTCATATCTTAGTGGTTCTGTTTTGGAGGCCATGTCTGAGCACTTTCTGACATTTTTGTTTCCTTTTTATACACTACGTAACCATGAAAACACAGGAAATCAAACCATAATTTGTATAATGGAGGGAGAAATATATCGATCACTAATGCAAAAAAAAAAACAAACAAGATTCTCAGATGAAGCTTCAGCTGACAGTGATTGACTACAGTTGACAGCACTCACAGATAAAGTAAACACTGTATTTCGGCCGATGAAGTTCCTGAATCAAGTTTTCGACGTTCTCCTGTAAATAAACAATAGACACGTTACATGTTGTAGCACTTTTAATGAACAGACAGCTCTATGGATTGCACGAACTTCATCGGCATACCTTGGTGGGACGGAGGAAACAGATCGCCTTCAGGTGTTTCATATTTTCCCTGTTCTGGGAGTCAAGCCGCTCAAAGAGGTAGACCTCCTTCTGCAGGATCTCCGATTGTGTGTAAACCACGCTTACGATGCTCGTCTGCCGGTAAATACGCACCAGACCGCAGCTTAGATATTTCGTAAAGAATAAATAATTCATTGCTGGGGGCTACAGATCATGCAAGTTTCCTGTTGTAATGCATCTCTTGTTGCGACAAACCCACCCCAAACCTACTCGATGCTCCAATACATCAACTACGTCACTTGTATTGCTTTCCAGGTAATTTCAACCTGTTAGGGATTCGTTGTCATCCTAGTGCTTATGAACATTTTCTTAATGCAATTCTCTGACATTTATTATCGCAAACATACATGAAAGTATTATGTTTCGACGTATTCCAGTAGCTATTTACCCCTGAATTAAACTGTTTTTCATTGCATGGTGGTTTATGCGTATCCATTTACATTTCACCGAAAGTGTGTTTTCAAAAATATTTCATTAAAGGGTGACTGAATTGCGATAATAGCTGACAGTTCAATATTACAACATAAACGCGCAAAAGAAGGGAAAAAACACTCACCGTCTCTTTATCCATCAACAAAACCTTCATTCCGGGCCCGCTGTTTTCTATCATTTTGGAGACATACTGCTTGACAGCGAGTGTCACATTCATTTTGACAGTTATTATAAGGTGACGTTGAAGATAAATAAAAAATCTAGCAAAAATTCAAATTAAGCAATCCACGGGAAAATGTGTTAAGTCCGTTTTGATATGCGTCAGTCAAACCATGGCGAGAGCGAAGACGTAACTGCAGCCCTCAATGAACTTCCGGGGTCTGCGCGTGCAGATATCCCATAATGCACCCGTCCGCTTTGAGGTCGTGTCTAGTGAGGGTGTCACAGTACTGTGCGATTTAATAAAACTTTTAATAATCGTTTGATTGTAATTTAGGGATTTGATTCGTTTGATAACATTTCTTTTTAGACTCCTGGTGTGAAACTTGCGACAACGTTAATCGTGATGCTGTGGAATAGCGTTTGTTTGCGCTTTAAGGTGTGTTTTAGGATTTGTGGTGGGTTGCAGATTGATTAAAAAGCCGGTTGTGTTGTAGGTCGTCTTTAGGTGATAACATTCTGCCATGTTTATATTTAATTTTGTTTTTCCCATAAAGGAAGAAATCGACTTAATATTAATGGGGACTTTTGTTAAAATAATCGGCGGCTATAGAAGTTATTCTGAACCTTTCCAACCACAAGGCCAAGTTCTTGTCCATTACGTGTCGGCGGCCGACCGGGGGGGGCTGGGATCCGGTAGCCGCAGCCCATTACGGACCAGATTGCATTTACCTAGTACGCAAATCAAACGGTTGAGAAACCCAGAGCTGGAGACCTGGATACTTTAAAGCGCCAAAAATGGAAAAGCACCCGCCCAAATAACTACCTCTCTACCTGGCTTTTGCTGCGGGAGAACTGAGAAACTCAGAAGGAGCTTCCATTGTCAGGCCATCAGCAGCTTTCTAAATACTTAACCGATGGTTATAATTTAACCAGAGTTACTGACTTTGGTCAGCTAGCTGCCGTGGGATTTTCAATTCGAAACAACTCTGCACACATTTATATATAGGTAACAGTTTTATTACCTTGTGAATAGTCTGTAGGGTCTGCAAACTACTCCCAACGCCTTAGATGCAGCTAATTTTAGGTTTATAATGGAATAATATAGATTTGCCGTAAGATTTCTTTCGTGGGCGTGAGTCTGACTCACACAGGATGCGGGAGAGTTGGCAATCTTTGTTAAACATTTTCTTCATATTTACGCACCTCGCACTTCATTTGTACTATGTTGCACATCTCTGTACTATTTTCCAGTATAGCTCTGTTCTTTATTATGCCTTAAAGTATTTTTTATTATGGCGGAGTTGGCCACCTTTAATTTAGCTGCAGGTTATAGTCTGACTATGCATGACAAATAAAATCCTTGAATTCTTGAAATCTATTAAGTCAGTGTTCCTGTCTTTTCTTGTTAGTAATTTTAAATAATTCCACAGTGTTGGGAAAAAAAGTCAGAAATTCCACAAAAGCTCCAGGTTTAAAACAGAATAGTCTGTTTTGCTTCATTTTATTTTTATAAGACCAATTCATGCTCCATAACTATCTGTCCAGCACAGGGTTGATGCCTACCCCTGAAATGCCCATCCCTGAAATGCCCACCCCTGAAATGCCTACCCCTGAAATGCCCATCCCTGAAATGCCCACCCCTGAAATGCCTACCCCTGAAATGCCCACCCCTGAAATGCCTACCCCTGAAATGCCTACCCACACTATGGGTAATTTAGATTTTAGCTTTTCAAATTCAGGAAGAAACCCACACAAACATGGAAAACATGCAAACCCACAATAGAGGTGAGAGGCCACCATATTACTGCCAGCTATCCTTGGGAGATCATCTTAAGTTATGGATCGGAAAAAAATCTTTATACTGAAATCCAGAATGCTTGATTTCTTATGAAAAACAAATGTAAAGGATTTACAATATAAATAGTGGTTTTTTAATAATTGTCATTTGAATACTTATTGGACGCAAATGAGAATAACCACAAATTTTCCATTAAACACTCTACGAGTACCAGTGCTGGGCAATATGGCAAAATATTTTATCACAATAATTTTTCATGTCAGCATATATTGATAATTATGATATAATTCAAGTCATTGTTTCATTATTTCAAAGCTCCATTTTTGCTTAAAATTCCTTTAGGATTTCCCTTAAACAGATTCAGAACAAGAAAAAAGATGACAGATTAAATGGACTGCGAACAAATGTAATTTTAATAAGTCATGCAAGAACTTTTTCGTTGCAAGGCATCTGCCTACCTGCTTGTTCCAGATGACGGGTTTGACATCGCTGTAGAATCGCCACACATGGCATTTTTAATGGGATCGTCCCATAATAAAAAAAGAATAAAATGATACAGGATGCTATTTTTCCCATATTCAGATTTGAAGAGGAAGCCCTAATTGCTGGTGTTTGTAAATGTACACACGTGCATTTTATATGTTCTTCTGGATGGCGATGCTTTGAGTGGTTCACAGTATTTTGCCAAGTGTTTGTTGAGTTTACCGTACACAGCACCAGCCTGTTGCATGCCAGACTTCAAATTGCCAAATTACCACCACACTCTTTTTACCTTATTTAACCACAGTATCTCCTTTGTAAGAAGATGTTGTGGCAGCTGACTGTCATTTTCTTCCCCAACACTGATGTTTCCTCTGAGGGAGCATCTCTTCCATAATATTACCAAAACAGTAGCATGTGCCCTGCTCAATCAATCAACCTTGCTGTGTTCGCTGGGCATAGGTTGCCTGTTCTTAAAAGACTTCCACATGATTGGCTGGAATTCCATTTGTTTTTTTAAAGGGACAGGCTGATAGGTGCTATCAACCAATGTTCTTTATTGACAGTTCATTGAAGTTTCTCATATATTGTTTAAATTGTGTGTAATTCACCTCTAGTTGTACAACTACTTGCAGTTAATATATGATTTACATAACACCGTCCATTTTATATACTGCTGATTAACCTGCATAAGAAAATACATGTAAAAGGATTCAGTCCAAATATCTACTTGGAGGCTCCCTAGTCTGGACTTTCCAGTTATACAGAGCAGTGTTTCCCAACCTGGGACCCCCAGACACCACATTTTTGCTCCCTTTAAGCTCCCTTGCAGACAGTCCTCATTTTTCCTGAATCTAGGAAGGAGCAAAAATGTGGCCTCTCCGGGGGTCACTGATATAGAGGTTCTAAACTGATCCATTAGCTAAAAAGTCTTTGAAATAATCATCCTTCTGTGATGCCAATCAAAATTCCAACAGAGGATGCAAAAACATTACAACTGCAGTGTATAACTCAGCTGGGTTTGAGTGCGTTGTGTCAGGTCAGGTCTCCTCTGTGTATGCCACCATCTGAACGCTCACCTCCCATAGCCTCAGCGCTGTCTGGCTGTCGTTTCCTTCTGGAGCAGGTTCCTTAACTGCACAGTCACTGGGACAAATGTTAAATATGAGTCTCTTCTGGCAACATCTCAACTGACCTCATCCTACCACTGACCCCTCCCTGGCTGTCGCTCTTCATACACTGGTCCGTTGAAATGGTTTCACTTGGCACTACTGGTTTCTTCATCGCTGTATTTTGCACTCAGAATTACTTCCTTCTAGATTCTCTTGGTGTTATTTGAATAACTTTTCTATTGCTAGGTTTTAACAGTGATAGCTGTTGTTTCAGTGCTGTCTTGCACTGGTCCTAAGTTGGCTCCTTGACAACTCTATGTGTGTGTTGTGTTATCTTCCTTTTGTCGGCCACCATACCACCTGTAGTTCAGACTAGGTAGTGCAAGCTAAGCAGGTTTGGGCCACGTTAGTACTTCGATGGGAGACCAACAAGAAAAGCTGAGTTGCTCCTGGAAGAGGAATTGCTGTGACCAATATGGGAAGCCCATCTCTGTAGTCTGCGTGGATCCCAATACCCCAGTAACAGTGATGGGGACACTGTGCTGTAAAAATGGCACTGTCCTTCGGATGAGATGTAAGACAAAGGTCCTGACTCTCTCAGGCCATAAATGATCCCTGGGCATTTTTCAAAAGAGTAAGAGTGGTATCCTGATGTCCTGGCTGAAAATGCTGCTGTGGCCCTTTCAGATCTGGCTTCAATCATCCCTTATATCTAACTGATGAATTCTCTCCTGACCATTTGTCACCTTAGCTATTGTATGGTAAGCGTACTGGCGCAGAATGGCTGCCTTTGCATCTTCCAAGTGGGTGCTACACAGTGGTCATAGTTCAACTGGCTACTCAATGGTTCTGTAAAGAGCTTTTGGTGTCCTGAAAAGCGCTATATAAATGTAACATTCATTCATTCATTCATTCCTCACTCGTACGTGAATTTGGACAAAACTGTACGCTGAATAAATTAATGTAAGGGGTTATTAACATTCTTTCCAGCCTCTGTGATCCAAAGCAACATTTCTATTAAATCAATTCAGGTTAAGTTCCTTGCTCTGGATCTTTATGGTCTTTGGGACCATTAGACCCAAATCCATGTTCTCTGTGTGCTGTTCCACAACATTAGTACGCGCAGTTTCTGAGACATCGATCAAAATATATATGAAATAATGTAAAATAATGCAGGAAAAACAAATAGGATTGGAAAGAACTGGTCCTTGGAGACCCCCAGACAGTCCACATTTTTACTCCCTTCCAGCTCCCAACACACTTGTACCAGGTATTTGTGTTCTTCATTATTTAATTCAGATTCAGATGTACTGGGAGCTGGGAGGGAGCAAAAATGTAGATTGTCTGTAGGTCCCCAAGGATTGGATTGAGAAACACTGTATTAGACGATAATTAGGAATTGAAACCTATGCTTGATATCGAGTTTTATTTCCCATGTTCCTTATTGAAATTTAGCAAGAACACAGGGATCTGTGTCACACTATACTGAAATGGTTCTAAGAATATTGCTATGGGTAGCAAACATCTGGTGGTAAATGACTAGGCCTGAGGTAGTCCATCAGTTACCTGAAGTAGCACCCAGATTTGTCTTCCAGGCCCTCAGTGACGGCACAGTAGATGGACGTCTGTGCTCCCTGCCATGGTGTCTTCATCAGGAGCATACAGGGGATGGCCAGTAGCACCTTAAGCAGAAGACTCCACCTTTCTACATGTCGACTCAGCTCTGTGCGGATAATGCCAGGGTGTAGGCTGAAGGAGGAAACCCCAGTTCCTGAGGATCAAGGGGAGTGTTTCATGTCCGCGTCCATCTCCAACTACTCCTGTTACTGCACCCCAAACCAGTTTCTATTGCACCAGCTAGTGTGCATGTATAACATGTGATGTTTAATAGAGTTGGATGTCTTGAGACCGTTCTTGGTCTCGAGACCACTTTTACGTGGTCTTGGTCTTGTCACAGTCTCGACGGTCTTTGGTCTTGGTCTTGTCTTGGTCTCGGATCCCTCGGTCTTGTCTTGGTCTCGCTGTCTTGGTCTTGCTGTCTCAGATCGACATAATGGTCGGGAGATTTGGAGCGAAAAGTATCCATGACACACAACCTAACGTTCAATAATGCAACATTATTATTATTTCGCCTTTAGCGCCTTTCAAATGCAACTAATCAATGATATATATGCATTTTGTTGTGATTCAGACATTGGCGCTCATCCAATCAAAATACGCGTTATACGCGCAAAATAAGTGTAGCGCTACTGTAGTTAAACGTTAGATCCAGCATCACAGGCTATAAGATGTTGCAGTCTTTAGTTTTCCTGAAGTGCAATCAACCACTATTTTAAAATGTGAACTGTTTTCTCCCTCTCCCTCCTCTCTGAAAATATGCCTAATAACAGTGATGCTCTCATTCTCTCTCTCTCTCTCTCTGTTTTTAAGTATTTCATCTATCTGTATTAGTTTAACAATCTGTTCTTTGTCCATAATGTCTGTGTTATATTGTTCTTGCCCGACTGAACAACAGGCTTGATATCATTGGCAGTGTGTTGTAATCACATGCCACTGCAGATGTCAGAATCTTTTAAGCACTTGTCCTTATTTTTATTAATTCACAATTTGATGTGCAGTTTGTATTGCTATATAGTATTTGTAGTTTGCATTTGATTCATGTGACGTGTGCACATGTCTTTATATTGTTTAATTACAGTATTTTACTTAAAATGGTGTTGACTACATAAATGTGACCATTGGATTTCAAATAACATCTGCATATCACGTTGTGTTGACTTAACAGGCCTAATCCATTTCAGGGTAGTTGATATCATACAGTGGCTAGTACTACTACAATGGGACATGATGCAATTTCAAGTTTATAACTGTGTGTCTTCAATTTGATGTTACAATTTCATCTACAAATTAAGTATAATTGAAATCAGTTACATATTTCCCATTCTTTAGACAGTTGTTGGAGGTGTTAGCTGTTTTGTCAGATGACTTTGGGACCAATCAGTACCCGTCATGTCAGTCCTCAACAGCACACAAAAGTTAAGGTCTTTTTTTTTCAGTCTCAGTCTTGTCTCGACTTTGTCTTGGTCTTGGCTCGGTCTGTCTTGGTCTTAGTCTTCATCTTGTCTTGGTCTCGATACCCTCTGGTCTTGGTAGTGTCTTGGTCTTGGTTTAGGCGGTCTTGACTACAAGTCTAATGTTTAACACGGTAATGGGTGAAATCATTATACTTAAAACACAGTTGGAGCCATAGGGTTCGTGTTAAGTACCACCTGTAGTAATTTTTATGCGGCCAACAGAACAAAGTTTGTAAAACACCCAATTATGCTTGTGAAATGCATGGTTGGGTTAGATTTGCGTCAAGTTAGTTCTGATAGTAAGTGGCAAACAATTAGAGTAGACTTAAACTGAAGGAAATCTCAACCGTTTTCCTGAAGCAAAAATTTCAATCATGTTCTATGACTATTAAATTACCAGGTGTTACTGTACAGTGTATAAGGTAGATAGCAACATGAACGGAGAAACTCGAACCTTTCATCCTGCATGCCAGCTCCTTAGAGAAAAGCACATTGGCCAGCTTGCTCTGCCTGTAGCTCACCAATGCGTTGTAAGGTCTCTTCTCAAAGCACAGATCATCAAAATGTATTTCCCCTTCAGACAGGAACAGGCAAATAGGCGAGATAAATCATGCTTCACTCAGCAAGTGCCCGAAGTTGTGAAGAAGCTCTTTGAGATAAATCAGGGGTCACCAACTCCAGTCCTGGACAACCCCAGCCCTGCACATCTTTGGGTTGACTCTCATTTAACACACCTGATTCGACTTCTCTGCTAATTACCAGCCATTTCTATAGTTCAATCAGGGGGAACAGGGAAAGAACTAAGCTGTGCATGTCTGGGTCCTGCAGGACTGCAGTTGGAGACCCTTGATATGAAGGGACTTACCACACTTATGAGCCATACTGGAAACATTAACTACACGACTGGGGGCTGAACTCTTCAGCTTCCCAAGGAGGAGGTTAGTCAAGAGGAAATGTCCAAGGTGATTGACAGCTAGCTGTGTTTCGTACCCATCCTCTGTAAGCCATTTAGGGCACATCATGACACCTGAGAACAAGGTCAAAGCCCTATGATTAACCATGAGATCCAGTACTTAAAGCTCAGACACTACAGTAAATCCTTTGTTTAGTAATGCAGAGGCAGAAGCTTCTTATAACGGGCCCCAGTGCAACATTTTTTTGTGGGGGCCCCTCCTTATTTATAGACCATTATGTCCAAGCACGTTAACAAATCCATCATTTGCCAGGTAGGTAAAGGTCATATATATTGTTTAGTTTCCTGCAGCTCATAATGCAATGTAAGATGCTTTGGTAATTAATGTAAATGAATTTATCAATAGTCTCTTGATGCTCTTTGCAATGGGGTCCAACGACCCTCCCCGTTTCTGTGGGCCCCAGGGCAGAATTTTGGAAATCTATTAATGGTGTGTTAATTTAAAATTGTGTTTTATTTAGATGTATCAGTGTCGGTCTTACCGGCATTGTTGATAAGTACGTCGAGTCGCTCCTCAGTAGCATTGTACTCCTTTGCAAACTGCCTTACAGAGTACAGAGAAGCCAAGTCAAGCTGTCGCACCACGATATCGCAGTTTCCAGTGGACCGACGGATTTCATTGGCCGCCCTCTCCGCACGAATCAAGTCCCGGCAAGCCATGACCACTCGTGCACCTGAAGCAAAAACCCAAATCTAACCCTACGATGCATTTCACAAGCACGGCTAATCACAGCAATATTCTTGGGACGTTAACATACCCCGACGGGCCATGTCCCTTGCCGTCTCCTTGCCAATTCCGGTATTTGCCCCAGTAATCAGAACCGTTTTACCGGACAGATGCACTTTACTATGGCACACCCCACCTGCGATCCATTTCCGCAACAGAAACAGGCCTGAATGACAACAAACCAATAATGTTGTTTTTTTTTTTTTTTACAAACCAATAATGTCCAGAAACTGGTGATACCATGCTTACGTCATAACGGTCCCAACCTCCCGAAAAAGAGCCACACAGACTGCCTTTTTAATCGGTTTAAGTCTAGCCAGTCTGACGATAAATCTGCAGACCAGGATCACAAGTCATGGGAGGGCATAATTAATCACATTAAACAGGTTTAAAATAATAAAAATTAGATGAAAGCAAAAAACATTGTTAAGCAAGTGTTACATTTTGTCTTTGGCCTGTTCTGTTCCTGTTATGTTTTGGAATTCAGGTAGGCTATTTGTCTAGCAATTTTTTTTTTATATGTATGATTAAATGTATGGTTACTGTCAGCAGTCTGTAGTTTAGGTTATTGACGGATCGTCCATCGCTTATGGCCTCATTGTATTAATGTAAGTCACAAAATAAATGGAAAGTATATCACTGAAATTGTTTAAGCCAGAATTTAAAATCACAACCTAGAAAATCGTCCAGCGAAATCGTATACTTAATTGACTTAAATGCTATTTGTTTGAAATAATACCCGAATTAAGCTATATTTACGTTAAATATAATCCACTAAATCCATACATGCATCCATTATCTAGCCTATATGCACATGTCTTAAATTCTTAAAAATATGTATCTGAACTCTCACAAGATCCAATCACCTGTTTAGCTAGCTATAATACAATGCAACCATCTCCTTATAGGAGACGTTTCAAAAGTCGTGATTATAAGTTAAGTCATGACCTACCAATCGCTGCCGCTGCATAGCCGAGGGGAATGAACGACTGAAGCTCTTTCCACATCTCAGCAGCCACTGCTGCGTCGGAAGACCTCGAACTTGACGGACTGAGTTAATATTTCGCAGTTATCGATAAGAATAACCAGAGCAACAACCATGACTGTAAACAGCTTCAAGCGACTGCAAAATCTGCTTTTCGTCTTTGCGCTTTAAGCTTACACAAGGATTATACGTAGCCTATACCATCTCATTCCTAATTTCCATTCATGGACAATACGCTTCACTAATGAAACACGGTAAAAATGGGGTTCACAGAGGTTCATACCAATGTTGTCCAAATTATTAAAAGCTGATCCCTGCCAATTTAAAATAGTCTAAAACAGAAAATGCAATAATCAAAGGATCAACATATGGACGTTTCAGAACAATATAGCCTACATGTGCACCAACCCGAAACAATATCAGGCTTTGTTTTACTTGATCAGTTAAGTAATTGCGTTTTCATTTCGGACGCTAAACTGTGAGTGAAATGTCGTCGCAGTTCGGCTTTTTATATGAAATGAAATAAAATGAGAAGGCATATATTAAACATGACAAAAGGTTGTACGCTTATTCGAAACATTAAAATGGGTAAATGTATGTATACATATAAATAGGCTACATAAAACAGAATTATTGTAGAATAAAATACATGCTCTCGTTCATTTTCGGTAAATGGTTTTCCTTTTGCCCGGCGAACCTGTCCAAGACAGGTGGCGGATGGATGGTGTCATTGACACGCAATGTACGTGTCAGGAAGGCAGTAAGTCACTAACTCATTTGAGGTCAGATACAGAACAAAATTATGAAAAGAGCAGCAAAGATAGTCTGTATTAGTGGTTCTCAATTGATCCGAAGGTAAAAAAAAAAAAAAGCCGAACCACTGAAAATGGTCTCGCGACCCACCAGTCGAGAAATACTGGTGTACAGTATATGAAACGCATGCCTCGAAAATTCCACCGTAGGTAACATAGCCTATATAACGCTCCTATTCAACTGGAATCTTTGCTGCAGACTTGAAAAGCTCTACGACATGCCCCCATTGACCCTTTTGTCTGAGATTATTAGAATAGCCTAATTGTCACTAGAACATATTTCCCATGAATATCACAAAACACATAAAAATGGTATCCTCTCCCTACTTTAATGCATTTTAGAAGCAGTTCATTGTTCTAACAGAATTTCATCCTAAAATTTCGGTACCATCTAATCTTGTGTTATGTCTCAGAAGCCCTTGGCAACAATATGCCCCTGGCAACGCTCTTCCGAAAATTTGTAGTTCCCTGTTGAGTATTATTTACCTTGAAACCCTGATCCTAGTGTTAAGTGTTGCAGCTTTAGCACCTTAAAAGCCCCAACCCCTATGGTTTCAGTACTTCATAAATTTCCACAAATCGCAACAAATCTGATATTCAACAATGTGGATAAGCTGAGGCACATTCACTACTGAAACAGTATACAATCAACTCCTCCATGTTTCTTCTGGAGGATGTATTCTGTGAAATATTCAGTGAGTTTTGATGATATTTTTTTTAATGAAATACTATATATTTGTTCTTTAAACATCCTATAGTGAATATATGAATGATTTCAATCCAATGTACGAAATACTACCTACACAAATCTCTACATAAATGAAAGACATAGAATCCTGAATTGTGGTGAAATATTTATTTATTAAATTCCTAGCATCAAAATCATAGTTTCCTGGATTGCTTGTCATCATTATATTGAGTGAAGCAGAAAAGGGAATTTAAACATTTCACAAAATTTCTTATACAATATAACGCACAAGAATAATTTGTACTTTAAAAATCATTTCAGGAAACAAAACAAAATGGAGCTGGGTATGTAGGGGTAAAATCAGACCTGCGGACATTTTACAATCAGACAAAAAAAAAATCAGTAACACTAGATTATATATAATCTTCTGAAAATGTTCTGTTTTCAAAATTGGTTTCCAGCAGTACACTTGTTGTGTGTATTTTGTTTGTATTTTATTGTTGTCAAGCAAAGAAAGATTCGCAAAAATAAGTAGGACATCTTTTGTGAAGTCATTCCCCCACTCTGCCGCTTTGCATAGATCGCTACCAATTAGAGTGCAGTTTTCCACACTGGAAGTGACGTCAGAGTTCGCTTCCACCAGTGCGAGCCAGAGGGAAGGTGGAAACATCTGCCCCCATAGCGCAGTTATTTCTTACAGTGGGTGGCAAGCCCGCGAAGAATTTCACATATCTTTGTTTTATGCCAAATGTTTTAGCTGTCAGTTTTGCGTAACGAAAAGGTGAGTTTTAATTTTAATGGGTCATTTTATATGGAGGGGCAGGGTTATTCACATGACGTTGCACGTCTCATTGTCTTAGCTAGCTAAACAACATCTAAAGAGAACATCGCATTGCAAACAGGCACTCGGGCTGCAGGACACCACACGGTTCAACAGTAAGACTGCGCTGTTGAAATTTTTTTTTCATGATTTTTAAAAAATGTCGTCTGACCGTTCAACTTAGTTGGATGGTGTCAAATCAAACTTTTTAGATACAAGGTTTGTTTTTAATCTTAGTTTCATATACTCTTTAGAAACTGGGAGAGCTTTGACATACGTACATAAAAATCGTATACTTACTGGTAAAGGGACTATTTTCTCTCCACCTCGCATGCAAGTCCAGGCTTAATTGATCAGTGGTTACCACGGAAATATTGATTTGATCTACATTTCATTTGACAGAAATGCATGTTCTGTAATGATCTGGATTCTCAATAAATGGTGTAGTGTATGTTAATGTTCTAAAACATAGCGACTTTGGTTCTTTTTATATAAATGAAAGATTTAATGAAATGGTTGCTGCATTCTAATAGGTGCTAAGCCGGCAATGTGGATGAGGGTATTTAACTATTTCATTTTTTACATTCATAAGCAGTGCTTGTCAGATGAAGTGGTTATAGATTGTGCCTTATCAACACCATGATTATTAATTACTGCCACTAGTATGCTGGCTGGCCACAACGTACTCATTTGATACTCATAACACTAAACAATTATGCTCGTTTCATAATTGTACTCATTTTTTTTCTCAAACAGTTTTTACTCTTTTTAGCAAAAGTACTGCCCAAACCATATGAAATTACTTTCCACATGAGATTTTATGTGGAAAACACATTTTCTGGAAACTTAATGATAGATCTATTAATAACTAAGAACCAGTATTTAGTTTTAAATCTTAATAATATCCAATTCCTTTGTTAATGTGCATTACATTGTATAAATTAATTGTTTTGAATTACATACTAAGTTGACAGGTGCTGTATTACTGAGAATTTTAGAAATAAAATATTCCACACCATGCTGAACTTGAAGGTGAAGAAGTGAGATATCCTTGGATTTTAAATAGTAGGTTATAATGGCATTTTCAAAAATAAATATTATTTCATTAATTAGTTTCTGAACTCACCTTTACCTGCATAATCTGTTTCCACAATAAATGTTCCAATTTTGGCACCTGATCACAACTGTGAATTAATATTTTAACATTGTTACAGTATTGGAATTTTATGTTTTTTGTTGTTTTTTTAACAGCTTTAATGTATTAATATTATATAAATATTAATAGTGTGATATTGATATCAGCCAATCAAAACTAGGCTGCCGTTTAAACAAGGCTACTATTTCAATAAATTAAACTACAACTGTCATGATTACTCAATTAAACTCAATTACTTGATTTTAAAGACGCATCAATTAAAATTTGCCTTCTCAGTTACTCAACAGTATGCCAAAGGAAGATGGGGCAAACCCAATCATGGTCCAAGTAAATAGCAAAAACCTTGTGTGGCAGAACTTCAAATTAAAAGTGAAAGAAAATGCAGACATTCAGAAAGCTTTTGTGTTTGAGGGACTAGCTGAATAATGCAAGGTTAGCCATCGATAACTATACGCTATGTGCACTTCAACCCCTTGGAGTAGCCCAGCCTGTCTTTTTCATTACTTTGCCTTAAATTGTTTTGCTTAATTAACTTCTTACCTCAAGATAATCGCAGCTGACTTGAAGGCCAGCCCTGTCACTTAGTTGCATTATCTTTCATAATCCATTTTACAGTATATAATATTATAATAATATTTTAATAAGATCATATTCATTATTTTTTGTGAATGTATTGTGTGTATCGAGTGTCCCTGAACTGTACTAGACAAAGCTCATGGTTACACTTTACCTAAGCACCCATGTATAATGTGTTATAGATACCTTCATAATGCATTATAATGCATTCATAATGTGTTATATGCACACAGCTATAACTATTTATAAAAAGACTTAACACATTATAGCCTTGTTTATTATGCATCATGAATGCTCTATAAATAGTTATAGCAGTGTTCTCAGTAAAAGTTACTGTTACCCTTGCCAGTACTGTTGTGAGAGATGTAATTTGCTGTCCTGCCAGGTGCAGATATTTGTGTATATAAATCCTGTTTCCTTTAGGTTTTCTCACCCTGAAGCTTTTTAGTATGAGACTGTAGCTGAATGGCTACATGTGTAGCGATAGTCAGAACTCGTATATATTTTCTACTACAGTTCTTAATCTGTGGTTTCATGCACTTCCCAGTTTACATTCTCCTCTCATCTGTTGCCCTTTCTGTTGTTGTTGCACCCAGTTCACTAAGACTATGCTAGTCATTTTCAGCCTATGAACAACTCAGTAATTTAAGTTTATGTTTGTTCCTTGCACTAAAAGGAAATATATAATTAGTGCTAAATTGCTGATTTAAAACTTCATTCTTGTGAAATGACTTTTTGTTCACCATTAAGGGTTAACCATTAAGTTGACCAGAATACATTTAATGTGATCTGATCATAGGTTGTTGATTGCATCAAACCCAATCTAATTAAATCCAAACAAGGCTTATTCATCAAGTACATTTAGAACAAAAGCTGTTATGATCTAACACATATGTATGATTTAATGAAATTACTGCTGCCAGTTACATGCAAACAGCAGGGATGCACCATGTTGGATTTTTGCCAATTTTCTGTATGCTGATATTTTCAAACAAATTTTAGTAGTAATGCCACATGACGCAGTGGTTGTGTATTATCCTAAAAAATCAGGAATAGACCAGCTTCACTTTCATCTTAAAATTTTAATTTGCCTTGCCAGGTTTTAAGTCAAGGTGATGACGCAAATGTAAATGCATGTGAGAGGGTATGTGTATATGCTGTTTGTTCTGGTCTTCAGAAACATGGCAGATGCTGATCTGTTTATGGAGTGCGAGGAGGAGGAGCTGGAGCCGTGGCAGAAGATGAACGATGATGTTGAGGATGAAGAAGTCAGCACGGTAGAGAGCAAGGCCACCTCAGGTAAGTAGCTGCCCCGGCCAGGGTGCCTGTGTTGGGGCGAACTGGGCTGCTCTACAAGGGGGCATCTGTGGTGTCTTACAGCACCACCCCCAACTGGCAATTTTAGCTATGTATTTATTGGCGGTTTTAGTGTGCAATTTTTTGATTGTGACCAAGCTGTTGGAAGGAAGCTGAACTGATGTAAAGACAGGCATGTGTATAAATTATATTTCATGTGAAATTTTATGTAATAGAATAGTGTCTGTAGATTTAGGGGGATTACACTGAATTTATGCCAGATTAATAGAATTTAGATTAAATTTTCCAAGAGTTAATTTATTTGCTGGATTCCTAATGTAGTTGTAATTAATTACGGGACTCTTTACACTTGTCTTTTTTATCACCGTTGATAGGAAACTTGATCTTTTTACAGTAAAAAATGTACCTTGACGTTTTTGTTGTAACAGGATCATGTATGCGTATGATGTAGTATCATGATATAATTTGATTTCCTGAACCTTACTCTGGATTGCTGCATTCAGTCCGTACAAGACTCAGAGGACCATGGCTACAGCATATCTATTCGATAAATCATCCAGTTGCATGTATATGTTTGTAAACGGGACTGAAAGCTGGAATAGCTTATTGCTGTATCTTCAACAGATCCTTGTTAACATTTCAGCCTCTGATTTGCATTGAGGCAGTATGTAATGCATTGTGAAGTTGTTCCTTTACGTCTTTTTTACAGTATATTATTTCTTACCAAACGTCTACCACTGTTCTGCCCTTGTGCTTGGATGTCAGGAAGGCAGGTTTGAGTGGTCAGACTGACTAGTCATCTTGGTGCCTTTGGTTAAGAAGTTGCTTGATATACTGTTTGTATCAGAGAACTATATACTGACTTACTTATTTTTTAATCTAAATATAATACGCAAAGGTTTTAAAGCATAACAGCAGTTTAGCCATTTTTTTTGGCTTTGGGTTAGCTATAAGTAATTATAATGTAATTTTAAAATAGTAGTTTTCTTGTTATAGCTTTCATATGAACAACGTTGCATCCAGCATGAACAAAGGAATAAAACATTGATACAATAATAAAATTAAACAAACATAAATTCGGCGTTGATTTAATATTAATAATTGTAATTATGTGCTGAATTGATAACTTGGTGAGTTTTCAGAACTGGGAAATGTTTAGAGCTGTCACGATTACTTGATTTAACTCGTATTAAAAGGCGTCAATTAAAATGATCCTTTTCGATTACTCAGAAATATGGGGGACGGAAGACGATGCTTAGAGAATGAGGATCCAAATAAACAGGGAACGCATAATTTACGTGGGAGCACTTCACATGAAAAGTGAATGAGAATGCAGTCCTCAGTATTGCAAAGCGGAACCTCAGTGTCACCACAGCAATGCAAATGCACCTCAAAGAAGACTTCTGGGTTTGGCAGACTCACCCAGTAAAGTGTGGTTAGCCATAGATGCTATTTAACCTGTCAGAGTAGCCTAGCCTGTTTTCGTCATCACTTTCACTTAAATTGTTTTGCTTCATTTACTTTCTACGATTTCCATAAAAACAGTCGCTACTCAAACAAAGGTTCATTTGACATAATACAGTATACACAACCAAGTCTTGTTAATTATTTTTTTGAACGTAGGGGAGACCGGGGACAGTTGCAACACTTTTTGCATTGTACTCTGTAACTCAGAAACTGTTTGGATTTGAGAAACAAAAATTTTATACAATAAACTTACCCGTGTCTGTTAATAGTTAACGGCATTTAAAGATGATTCCCTAAAGTACATTCTTCACAATTTGCATTTGAATGTGATGAGTCAGATGTTGTAACTGACCCCAGGCCCGGGGATAGTTGCAACATGTTTCAAATAGGTATACTTTAGTGACAATAAAATGCTTATAATAAAAAAATGTAAGTTATAATAATAGTACAGTGTTCTTTATCAGCTTTGATCAAATGACAGTTATAGATTTGTCTAGATGAGTAGGCCCTGATGTCAAAGATTCAAATTTGATATTATATTGATATGGTGACATAATAATATTAACAAAACAATTTGTGAGGTAATTAACTTTTATTTTGCCTATTTGCCTAGAAAACTAACCCCAGTATGGAAAATGCATCTTAAAAACTTTAACAAACTGTAATTGAGTAATATTTCAACAATAACCAGCCATTCAGTCAGAGTCGCAGTTGTGGCATGTGTACACATCACCTCCAGGGGTGCAATCCTGATGTGCCCAGGATTTACAGCTCCAGCTGTAGCCAGACTTCCCTTGACCTTAATTTAGTGCCTAAATTGACTGTATGTGTGACTGAGTGTGGTTGTTTCCTGCCTTGCGCCAATTGCAGTGAATATTTTATATTATTTTATATCATATTATATTACATTACTTGATGAATCGTCATTTTACTTGGGAGATTACTCGATTATTGATATAATCGATAGTGATAGCCCTAGAAGATTTTTTTGTGTAGTAATACTGCTGCGACCTTAACCGTGTGAACCATGTGTTGCTGAGGATTTATCGGTCTGTAAATAGCTTTGTAAAAATGCTCTGCGCCATCATCGGTGTAATTTATCTAACCAGTCAGTCTTTTGGGGAGGTATCAGCCATACTGGTCTGTGTTGAGTAAAAAATTGAATTTATAATGTTTTAAGTGTCACAGTTGCTTGGGGATTTGCCCAAACACAACCATCGTTATAGTCTCTGCTAAATGAATTTCAGGACAAATGTGCAGTTGAACATTATTTCAGAACTATGGAGTGCTGGACTTCATGATTACATTTACATTTGTACATTTTGTTCTGAGTGCTTGAATAATTTGGCTATTGTGTTGCCAAGTAAATGAGTCCCTTATTGTTCTCTTTATTAAAGTGCCGGACAGCGTGACTGCCGGACCCACCTCCCTGGCCTCAGTACCTTCTTCAGCGTCCCCTAGAACACTCTCTGTTTCCATGGCCACCCAGATGATGGCATCCAATGCCACCCCCAGTCCCACTGTCCAGATCCACTCAAACTCAACATGTGAGTGAGGCTGTTGTTCAGTCCATCTTTCTTATGATTGATATTTTCAGGTAATTTATGTAAAACGTTGTTTAACGATAGACTGTTACACCGGCGTTGGCTCAAAATTAGCGCAAAATACACATTTTTTAAAATTACAAGGTACACTCAAGTATATTTTTCTTTAAATTATGTGGCATGAGTCAAGATTTTGCAAGGTATTGTTGTCCTTGTGAGCATTTTCCTGTTTATAATCCTGTCCTAAAACTGCCCAGGCTCCTTGTCTTCAGTGCTGCCCCCTGCTGTCGGCCAGCCCACAGTGCCGTCGTTAGTGACCCAAGGGTTACCCAAGCCTGCCCCTGGCCAGCAGCTGATCCTGACGCAGAGTCCCGGTGGGCTGGGCGCTGTGGCTATGTCTCACGTTCTGCAGCCTATGCAGGTCATGCAGGGTCCTGCACCTGGAACCAGCGCTGCCACCAACCAGCCCATCTACTTCACCACACAGGTACGAGGCTCACGCACTCATGAAGACTGGGCGGCATCTAATGTGGCCTTTCATTATAGGAAACCATGAAGGATGGATATAGATCGTTGGTGCTTCTACTTGACTGTGACCTGAATGACAGTCAATGCTCTCTGAAAGCTCTCTAAAGATTCCCTCAAGAAATATTCGTACTTAATCCCGAATTTCAAATTTCCCATTGAAAGTAGTGTCTGGAGTCTTTGCCAGTTGGCTCTGAGGGGTTGACTTTTGTGATATTAAAGACCTTGAGTTCACCAAAGGTACTATGTATGTGTTTCTGGTGTTGAATTTGGAGCAAGTGCATAACATTGGTCAAAGTCATTGTTGAAGCTGACTGCAGTATGTAAATGACATGCTTGTGTGTCTTAAGACACAGGTAGTCGCGGGCCATGTAGCATCAACCATTATCGCTGGGTCTATGTCGATCGCACAGGGGTTCCCTGTCCAGAATGTGAGGCCTGTGCAGAACCCCGTTAATCCCCTGGGGATCGTGTTGAACGTCCAGCCGGGTCAGACGGTCCGACCAATCACATTAGTGTCAGGTAGCGTGACGTCGCAGCCCCTCATGCTGAGCCTGTTAGTTTGAGGAGAATACAAATCATGCCTCATGTTTTTTTTGCTAAATTGCTCCCAACCTCAGGCACACAGTTCTTCAAGCCGGCGGTGGGGGTGCCTCAGGTTGTGTCCCAGCCCGGCCCAATACGGCCTGGGGCTCCCATAGCTGGTCGGCCGGCTTCCACCACTTACACCACAGTTCAGATCCCAGCCACCCTCACCATCCGCAGTAATACCCCCCTCAGCCACCCGGGGGCGATGGGTCTCGCCACCGTGGTGACCTCTGCTGCCACCCAGCCTGTCCACTCTTCTGCGCTGCCCCAGAACTCCCAGTCCAAAACTGGTAAGGTCTCCGCCACAAATATTATTGTTGTAATACAGTTGTGACCAAAAAAAGTGGCATTACTGCAAGTGAAGGAAAATCTTGATACCAAGACACCAAATCATTTGAAATGCTAACATCGTTTTGAAAGAATTGGTGTCAGGTGTGGCCAATATTTTGGCCACACCTGTATTTACCAGCTATAGTCTATAAGCTTTGTTGGTCATTTTCTTAAAAAGAGGGATGTTTGAGTTGCAGTTGTCCTGAAGAAAAAAAATCACATATCAAAAGCTGTTAAAAAGAATTGCCAGTGTCTTTCTCCTCCTTTGACTGTCCCACCTATAGATTTTCTCCCACTTCCCTCCTTTTTCTTTTTTCTTGTGGTGGTCAAACCACAGTTGACCCACATTGTGGGGGTTAGGAGCTCAGGTTAGGGGCCCAGGGCTCCACGTGATCCGGAATTATTGCGTCGAATTTTTTCGGTCTCTTTGGCAAGCGAAGTGAAAAGATATGAGAAACGAAAGATGCACAGTTCACTGCGAGTTCACTGCGAGTTCACTGCGAGTTCACTGCGAGTTCACTGCGAGATCACTGCGAGATGTCACGTGAGAGGCTGCCGTTAGCACGCTTGGTGGCTGTACATATGTCTTATGTATTTGTGAGTTAGGAAGCTTTTCATGTGGCATCTGCGGCTTTCACAAAACTCGCAAAAACTCCCGGGAAAATTCCATCTAATTTCTTATGCATACCCCGCCATATATCACAATCGCAGTGGGGGAAGCGGCGATGCAGAAGGGCTGACTGCAGTGGTAGACGTTGGTGTGCGGCTCAGTGGCTTAGGCTCTGAAGGTTGCCGGGTCATATTCCAGGGTCCACAACTTGAGCAAGGCCCTTAACCCCAGTTGCTACAGCTATTATGTGACCCTGCGTTCTGAGTTATACTTCAGCTGAATAAATATAAAGGTAGAACGATGAGAAAAGTCAATGTGTAGAAATGGCTTTTTGCTCACGTTGAGCTGTGGCCCGTTTTTACCCGGCCTATGTTTCGCATTCCTTTACAACGAGCTCCATCCTCTCTGCCTCGCGGTCGCATGTTCGGCGTCCCCCCCGACGGGAGGCTGTCGCATTTCCACGCCTCTGACGTGTGGAATGCGGCAGGTTTTCAGGCCCTGCCGCTGGGGAGGAGACGACGCTTCCTGATACAAGGGGGCAGAGTGCTAGAGGTACAGGAAGCGCATGATGACGGAGGTAAAAGGGGTTGCATGGCCCCCCCCCCCCACACTCTCCAGTCGCATGCCAGGAGTCTAAAGTTTGCACACCACTAGAAGATACTATTCCTTAGGTGCAGAGCAGATTGTGATAGAAAGAACACCCCCCACACACGCTAAAGCTGCAAAAAGCCCCCCCCCCCGGACAATACTCATTAATGAAATTCTTGGCTGGTTGTTTGGGAATGCCCACCCGCTGCTGGCTGTGTGTCCCCGATGCCACAACGTCCCACGCCAGTCCCCGTCTCCTGTCCTGCAGTGACCCCGTGCGGTGTGGTGGCAGTGAGGCACGGGGACGGCACCGAGGTGCAGAGGCCACCCAACGCGGCACCTGCCATCAGCGCCCTGGCTGGCACGCCGCTACAGGCCCCTCCGGGCATCCTGGCCAAAATGGCGAGTGACGGCCACACCGCCTCCGCCGGGTCCTCGCCGTCACGCTACAACAACATGAGAGGTGTGTTGAAAGTCCCCCAGCTCCACAGCTGTACGGCTGCCAGCTATATGTTCATCGTTACTGCAGTCTCACATAGAGATGCTGAGAATAATAATAACCGTGGATGATCTCATGCAGGGATCCAGCTAACTGTAATGTTAGCCTGTGGTTCATTTCCTGAAATTTATAAGCTTTTACTGTCGTTAAAACATGCCGGGTGAGAGAGATCTTCAGTCCCTTTGGAAATAGTTCTTTTAAGTGTGCCATCAGTCCGGTTTGTAGACAGGAGCACGCATCCAGACGCTGTAGCAGTAGCCAGCGGTATGTGATATGTTTTGCGATTGATCTTACTGGATTACTTGTAATGACTGGATTACTTGTAGATTACTATTTCAGCATGGTACTAATCTTCCATTTGCCATTTATGAATCAGTAGACAGATGAATCTGTGCTGGGTCAAGTGGGGGGGGGGGGTCAAGCCATTGTTTTATTACATGGCCATGTCCCTGATTTGTTAAAAGAGTGTATAATTTGTAAAGAATTTTCTTTCAGCTGCCCATTTCTTTGTTTCCTTCAATAAGTAAGTGTGGTTTTAGATTCATTGTTAATTGTCACACTGTCATAAGTAAGTGACACGTTTCTGGCTCTGGTTGTGAAAGCTAAAGATTGCTGGTTTGTGCAGATGTATAGCATAGTGTCTACAAGTGGTACCTTGTCTGTTAAGATGTTTGGGTTATGCCATGTCCCTGTATTTACCGAAGGTTATAATGAAAATAAGAATTATTGCTGAGATAAATGAATCGGCAAGAGGCCTGTCACAATTATTGCATAATCGCCTGATTGCAATTATTCGAACTGACCTCGATTATTTTTGCATAATCGTTAGAATTGTGTCCATTCATCAGTATAAAAATAACTGGATGCGACAGTGCCCGATTTGCACCACTTCGTTTCACAGTATTTCCATGATCCAGCTTGATACCGTTGGTATTTATTTTCGCTACTTCAGGCTGCAGCTGAGGGATCTCCACCAGCCCAAAATATCAGCAAGAAATTCCGATTTTGCATTCTTTGTGTTCTCTGCCTGTTTAAATGAACGTTCTGCATAGCACCTGCACTTGTGTCTCAGTGCGTGTTTATGCGTCTCTTTATGGTGGGATGACTCTACATGCCACTATTATGCTGCAGCTGAGTCAGTGTATTATGTCAATAGGACAAAGAACTACAGAAATGTATGTTACTTCTCCATTTATTTCTGATCCCATTGTTTTGGTGTAATATGAACAGGTGCACATAACTGGTACGCAAGTATGCATTCGCGGTAAAGCGATACACGCGGAAATTTCTTCTTGTAGCAGCGCAAATTACGTGCACATTTCCGTGCATTTTAACCTTTATGTGGCTAATTTGTACTTCTTTCGCAGTATAAAGGTCAATGCACAGTGCACATGCAGTGATTTCTTGCACATAAAATAAATACGCATTTGCATATAGGCCTACCGCAAATGCGTACTTGCGCATGAGTTATGCACATCCCTGTATATAAATATGGCTGAAATAAACACAAAATAGTGTAAATTAGAGTAAATTAGAGAAGAGCTTTAAGATGTTTGCCTTGTCTTACATCCACGGATACGAAGGGGAGTCTTATTCGTTCAACTTCGTGGCTGGTGTTAGCTATAGCTTACGCTAATAGACGTTACTCCCGGACAGTGATAGTGTATGCATGTTGCAATTAAGTAACTATGAACATCCCCAGTCATTCTAGCGGAGAATGTTTAGCTTAGTATGTTCTATATGTGCTTAAGTACACATTGCGTTAATCTGTGTTTGCTATTCTTAGTGTCAAACAGAAACACGGGAACAGGAGAGGTTGCTGCTTCAGAACCCATGAAGAAGCACAACAAACATCATAGTGTAAAAGTATGGCAGCACTGGTAATTTGTCAGAGTTCTAATTAAAGCTGTTCAATATTCAGATTTGTGTTATATAGACTCAAAGCTTATGATAAACCGCCATAAAACGAGCCACGGAGATGCTGCAGCGAATGCTTTCAGACAATGTTGTGAAAATACGCTGTATAAATAAAATTGAATATTTAGGTACAGTATTATACTGTATTATATAGCGTATTTTAATTATACACAGTTCAGTCATTTAATTTGTACAGTACTGTAATTTGAAAAGCGTTTGAAACGGTTGTACTATATTTTGCAATCAAAATTAGTGACGCTGTCCATTTTATCACCTATTATTCATGTAAGAAATATACACGTGTCAGTTAGACTGAGACATGAAGAAAAAATCGGTTATGATGATCATCCGATTATAATTATCAATTTCGCCCAGGCAGACGTGTTCACTATAAGCGGTAAAGTAAAATGTGGCAATAAAGTATAAATGAGTATAAATATGTTGGATTTGCCGAATATCCCAGAGGTGTGCTTGGAAACTTAAAACTTGATTGTATTTTGAGGACGTGGTGAACTTAGGAAATTATTATTATTGTTTTTTTAGCTTCTGAAACACAAGTTTATCCTTTCTTGCGCTCATAGTTACTCAAACCGGAAGCAAGTGAGCCGTATTTCGCAGTGATATGACGTCACTGCGATATTATTGTTTATCGCAATAATTCCTGGGACAATTTATCGTCCAGCAAAATTTGTTATCGTGACAGGCCTAAGTATCACTATTTTATTTTTATTTGTACTACAAAACCCCTGCATGTGTGCATGTCATTAGTATAGGGAGAAGCAATGGCACAATAGCTGAAAGAGAAGTTGTGTTACTGTCGCAACAAGAAAATGCGTTATGTGCTTCAGTATTGACTACTAAGGACTATTTCAGGGTGCTTTTTGGGGGAAAATATATTAGGCTTCCATGTAAATGAACCTGCAGTGTTGACTCTTATCAACCTCATGAGCCAAAGTTTTGATATACTGTGACTTTGGCCCATGTTCAGAGTTGTGTGCATTCCAGGGGCGTCGGAAATTGGGGGAACGCATCCAACCCAATATTGGCAGAACTCCCCCCCCCCCCTTCCCAATTAATAAATAAATACATGATCAACACCACGTTCCTTATCTTTTATTATGAATCATTACTGAGGCCAATTCGCTGTGCATTCAGTTATTTTTTTGTTAAGTGATGTTTGATTATGAAACTGTACCCTTAATGATGTTAGTCTTATTTTAAATAAACAGTATGAGCCGACAACAGTGACAAGAGACGGCTTAGAGTGGCTCAGACCAACCTTACGATAGAATATCTTACGGAAGATATACTTAACTAAGAACGTTTCGGGAAACATGTTGGAGCATTAAGAGACAACTTAAGGTAGAACTTACGAAAAATGTAGCATTAAGAAGATTTTGGAAAACGCATCCAGATGTTTATTTAAAAGTCTTCTTTATTTATTATTTGATTAGATTAGTGCCATGTGCTGTTAGCATTTATGCTAGCAAGTGGAGTTTTTGTTTAACAGTTTAAAATTGTCAATTCTGTTACCGTCAAACACTGTTACCAAGGTAGAGTAACAATTTTGACAGCAAGTAACATTATTAACTAAATCACAATACAATGTTCAGTGTAGCCTGCATTTCTGCTTTAGATATGCCACTCTCAGCTGCTGAGAAGCAGAGGAGGTATCGGGCAAGGCGTGATGCCAACCCAGACAGAAGAGAGGAGAACTTAGCAAAAGACAGGGAAAGATGGAGACGCAACAAGGAGTTGGAGAGAAGCATCCTTGAGGCAGTGAACGCCCGTACCGCCGTGTATAACACAGGACTCATCACCGGCCGAATGAGCGCTTACAAGGCTGCTTCTCATGGAGTACTTTACAAAACGCAGAATGCCGGTACCAGAGTGCGCATGGAGTCTCACTTCCACCTGAGCGACATGGACTGAATGTGGCACGGATTGCACACAACCACGGACTCTAAAGGTGAATCCACTGCAGCTAATTGTGAGCACGGTGATGTCATCACCATCACGGAGTGTGACTTGTGCAAGGCGCTGCAGCAGGTCAACATCAGGAAAGTGCCGGGGCCGGACGGCATCTCCAGGCACTGACCAGCTGTCCATAGTCTTTACCTCCATCTTCAACAAGTCTCTGGCTCAGTCTGTGGTCCCCACATGCTTTAAAAGATCCACAATTGTCCCGGCACCAAAAAACAATAAGCCTTCGTGCCTGAATGATTACCAGCCAGTTGCACGAACGTCGGTAGTCATGGAGGTGTTTGAGATACTTATTAGGGACTTCATCACATCCTTCTTCTCCAACTCCACAGACTCACTACAGTTCGCTTACCGCCCCAACAAATCGACGGATGACGCCATCTGTCGTGTGCTGCACTCCACTCTCAGCTAGTAGAAACAGGGAACTATGTAAGAATGCTGTTCATTGACTGTAGGCAGCTTTCAATACTATAGTCCCTCATAGACTGTTCTCCATGGTGAGGGGCCTGGAACTGCCTGGGCTTGCAGCTTCCTCACAGGCAGATCACAGGTGGTGAGGGTTGGTGGTCGTGTCTCCAACATCATTGCACTCAATACAGGAGCACTTCAAGGCTGTGTACTTAGCCGTCTGTTCTACGCTCTCCACCCCCGTGACTGCGTGGCCACACCCAGCTCCAACTCCATCGACTTGGAGGAGGTGGAGAACCTGACATTGTGGTGTCAAAAGAACTGCCTCCAGCTGAATGTCAGCAAAACCAAGAAGCTGGTGGTGGACTTCAGAAGGAGACAGCAGCGGTCCTACACCCCCCTCAACATCAATGGGGCTGCAGTGGAGAGGGTGGGCAGCTTCAAATATCTGTGCGTTTGCATCTCCGAGGATCTGACTTGGACTGTACATGCACAAGGCCTGTCCAAGGCTACGTCTCTACCACCTGAGACAGCTGAGGAAGCTTCGGGTCTCTCCGGCGACCCTAAAGATTCTGGTGCTGTGGAAAGTGTCTCGATCCAGAACATCATCTCCTGGTTTGGTAACAGCTGTGCCCAGGACATTAAAGGTCTACAGGGAGTGATCCGGGTGGCGGAACGCTGCACCAGATCGGATCCACAGTCTCTTACACCAGGAGATGCAGGACCAGAGCAACCTGGATCATCAAAGACTCATCTCACCCCAGTAACTGTCGGTTCAACCTACTTAAATCAGGCAAATGCTTCAGGAGTGTTATGGGCAACAACAGAGGCTCAGGAGGAGCTTCTGTCCTCGGGCCATGAGACTCCTAAATCATGACATACCACCGCAGCTTTCTAACTGTTCATAATAACACAATCTGAACTCTCAAGGAACGCTTGCTGTTATGACATCACCACAGAGTCTATATTCTGTTGTAAGAATATTGCCTTTTAAATACTGTTCTCTTATAGGAACTTCAAAAATAATTGATTATTCCACGCCTATAAGCTGGCACTGATGACTTCTATTAGATGCCAGTTGTGTTACTTTAGGGCTCAACTCTGTTTATGAATTATTTTCACAAGTAAACTAAAGAAATTGTTTTAAATTTCATACACATTATTGATGTACTTTTTCTCCCTTATATTTTAAGAAGAGTTTTATTTTTTACTGGATATTATATATAAATGTTTGCTCCTATGTGGATGGTTCTGTGAAGATTAAGGCATTTTTTCATTTTTATGGTATGCTTGGGTGAAATATTATCTTGATTTGAAGTGTGTTAGGTTTGATGGAACAGGAATGAATTATCTTATTGGGATTTATTGTTATATCCGCATATTGCCTAATTTGGCCATAACAGAGTTAACTTATACTGTAAACAAATCTGTTTTTCTGAATAAAAAGAGGTAGGTTGTGTTTGGCAATCATTGATTTGTTAAAATCAAATATGTTTTCAGTGACATACTTGAAAGAAGAGTTTTTTTTTCTTTTTTCTTTTCAATTATAGAATCACTCATATAAACTGAGTGGAATTCATGGTTCCGATATCTATGATATCTTGATCCCCTTGTACAGCTGTGGCTAGAGGTTCTATAAATAACCCTAATAGTTATGGACATTAATGTCTAGTCCCTCGCTGTAGTAAAAAGACTCTTTGGCATGTTTCCCATGATGATGACTGATGTTCTGGGTGAGCTGTAGAACATTTTGATTGAACATTTGGGTGAATGATTGTCCTAAACCAAATTTGTCTAATGTTGCAAACTGCATTTTCCAGCTTACTGTCAGTTTCAAGTTGTATTAGGAATTGGCAGTGGTTCTCGTTTTAAACAGCCCACTTGAACAGGGTGGATGAGGAATGGCAGATTCAGCCTGTTTTGCTTAGTGATGTTGCTCGGTGACTGGGGTGTACGGTTGGGTCTTTTATAGCTATATTCGTATGTGGTGGGAATGTTTCGTTTCATTTTGATAAATGGTACCGAACGAGTCGGCCAAAAATATCTGTTTCTTGACATGCAGTTAAATGCTTTTTCAAATTATGCCAATGTTAATGGTGCCTTTCCTGTTTCTCTCTGACTTGCGTGCAGTTAGGGAAGTGTTGTTTTTTTTTTATATATATATATATCTGACAGTTTGTTTTTTAGTTTTTCTAATGGTTTAGCATTTTAGTTCTTCTCACCAGTGATAAAGTTTGACACATGGGTAGAGCTGTCACTATCAGTGATACTACTTATCAAGTAATCTACTGATTTAATTTGGCAGTTAATGAAATACTCTTTTATATATATAGTCACCTGAATACTGGTCCTGACGGCCGCAGTCGGTTCTGTCAGTCAGTCAGTCTGCATCCCCTCCTCTCTTTTCTGCGGTTTTCAGTGAGCGGCTGTGTCCGTACCTCCTTTCTGGGGGAAGCATTCTGATCCCCTGTATGTGTCCCTGCTCTGCAGTGCCCCCCCCCGCCTCTGTCCCCGGCTCCCGGCTGTGTCCTCGCTGTGGAGCCCACTTCAGGATGGTCGAGGCCCTCCGGGGACATATGTGTGTGAGTGTCCTCTTTGTCTGCTCTGGTCAGGATGTGAACAGGCCCTTTTGGTCAATAAGGCCTGCAGTGTTTGAAAACAGAGTCTTTTTAAATATCTTTTTTAAACATCTGTTTTCACAGGACACACACACTCACACCACACAATCACACCCCAAAGGCAAAATAATGCGCGTTGAACAACAGTTAGTTCTGACCAATAAATCTGATCTGATCTGATCAGTGTTTGATTACAAGCAGAACAGACATCAGTATGAGCAGTGCTATTGATGTAAAATGTGCTTTGTTCCCTCGACAGTTCTGCTGTCCCGAGCTCACCCAGAACCTGAGCTCCACGGAGAGCCCCATGTCCTCGGGGGTTGGTGCCGCTGCTGTCGTGCGTCCCACCGTGCCGCCGCCCCCCCAAACTAAACCCATCCCACCTCAGAACCCCTCCGCCCCGGCCAGCCAGCTCGGCGAGGGCAGCCCGGCCGGTGACACGGATCCCCAAGGCAGGCTGATCATGCTGGTAGATGAATTCTACTACGGCTCTTATGAAGGCAAACGAGGCCACGCCCCCCAGGACGTCACCCGGGAGTCCGTGCAGTTCAAGTGCCTCAGCTGCTCCAAGAAGCTCAAGAACAACATTAGGTTGGAGGCCGGCACCGCCCCCTAGGGGGGGGACAGCTCACGCCCGTCCAGTCCAATCACAGCTTCTCACACGGGCCCCTCTCTCCTCCCATAGGCTGATGAACCACATGAAGCACCACATGGAGCTCGAGCAGCAGAACGGAGAGGTGGACACCCACACGTACTGTCAGCACTGCTATCGCCAGTTCCCCACGCCTTTCCAGCTACAGTGCCACCTAGAGAGCGTCCACAGCAACTACGAGTCCTCCAGTAAGTGGCTGTTTCCTAGCTCCGCCCTGAAAGCCGTCCTTTAGGTAGCCGGTAACCCTAGACTACATTTCCCATAATGCACATTGGCCAGCACTTACTTCCCCTTTGCTGAAAAAGCACAGAGGATTGCCACAGGTTTTGCTCTCTCTGTACCAGTGAGCCTACCCAGCTGAGGTGACCGGTGCTCTTCCCTTTGTCTCTGCACAGCCACGTGTAAAATCTGCGAGTGGGCCTTCGAGAGTGAGCCGGCGTTCCTGCAGCACATGAAGAACACACACAAACCTGGAGAGATGCCCTACATCTGCCAGGTGATCTTCTGCAGTCTTCAGGCAGAGCAGCCCCGCCCTAGTGGCATGTTTAAAAATCACGGGCGATACGTCCTACGTGTATTGGAAGCTTTGACAAGATTAATTTATTCCTCGTCCAAGACCCATAGGAATTCATGTATCCTATACTTCTTTCCATGAGAGAATTTTTGGGGCCAGACCTCAAGGTTAGCCATTTTTCTGGTACCCCTGGAGCAGTTGGGTTAAGGGTCTTGCACTTACAGTCTTTTGGACAATGTCACAGGTCCTAAACATACTGAGTGAAGTGTCACTTTGGGTAACGATATCCGTTTTCAGGCGAAGCAATGAGTAGACGGACTAGGTGTTGAGTAGATTTACGCCGGCATGCATTATACAACAGCTCGCCCTCCACAGGTGTGCGAGTACCGCTCCTCCTATTACTCAGATGTGTACAACCACTTCCGTACCTGCCATGAGGACACCAAGAACCTGCTGTGTCTGTACTGCCTCAAGGTGTTCAAGAACAGCAACTCCTACCAGCAGCACTACATCCGCCACCAGGTAGCACCTCTCTGGGTCTGAGGACCTCGGCCGGGTGGCCACCCATGTCGCCTGATTCTCCATGAACTCTACATGTTCAACATACAGTACAAACTAAGCACTGTACGGCGTGGAGAGGATTTTCCAGGATTGTCCAGATTTTCCCCTGTGGATTTCGTTGCGCTGTCTGCCTGATTTTGTAGAGGCCTGATCGTTTACCTAGTTTATTCATCTAGTGCTGCTTTGTCGCCCCGCAGAAGAAAACCGTGTGTTACTGCAACAAGTGCCGGCTGCAGTTCCTCTTCACCAAAGACAAGATGGATCACAAGGTCAACCACCACAAGACCTTCCGCAAGCCCAAGCAGCTGGAGGGGCTCCTGCCAGGGACCAAGGTGACCAGAGGCGGCGTTTCACGTCCCAGAAACACTTATCTCTCTATGAGCATCTTTGATGGTTCTTGTCCCTCGTAATGTTCGTTTTTTGACTGTTCACACCAGGTGACCATCAGGGCATACGCCGCACAAAATAAGCCCACCCCCGGCCTCCCCCCAGCACCCCTGCCGGCCCCCCCGGTTAGAGATGCCCCGTCTCCTGTGCACTCTGAGGGCCACCAGAAGCAGCCGCTTCCTCAGCCTCCCATCAAGAGGAAGTCTGTCAGTAAGATGCTGGAGCTTCTCACCAAGTTCCAGGAGCAGCGGTGAGTGATATCGACACTCTTCATGCTCCCTGAATGTTTTTCTCCGTTTTATAATGATTTTTTTTCCCTCCCACCACAGTACTTCTTAGAGACGTGTGTGATATGTTAGAGCTGTTTGTCATGTGACCTCCAGGGAGGTGCTGGGCCCACAGACATGCCTGGAATGTAACTACGACGTCCCAGACTTTGCCAATCACTTCCCCACCTACGTTCATTGCTCGATCTGCCGCTACAGCACCTGCTGCTCCCGCGCCTACGCCAACCACATGATCAAGTGAGTCACGGCGCGTTGCCCGCGGGTGCTGATGTCGCCCCACGACAGGAGAACGAGCTCCACACTCATGCGGGAGCCGTGGTATTTCAGTCCTGAAGGAATTCCACAGCGGAGGATTCTGTGCCGGTTGATCGATTCTGATTGGCTGGAGATTGTGTAAACCACTTCATCACGTGACTGAAATGGAAGTTTATTTGTGGTTTTCAGTCAACATACAGCTTAGAGAAGACAGCATATTATTTGAAATTGCTTGAGTGTATAAATGGCCATAAATATGCATTCTAATTGCTTTATGCCAATGCTATAAAAGCTTTCTTCCATACCAAGTCCGTTTCAGCTGGTCCTAAGTATCAGTGAGTGATAGTTTACTTCCCCTCCCAGAAATGGGCTATAATATTCTATATACACACTGCTATTTTTGCTTCAAGCATTTTGATGGTACTAATGTTAATTATATGTTATCATATTAAATATTTGGGAATACTCTTCATTTTTGGAGCAGGAATTATTGCTGTTAGTAGTTATTATTATTATTATTATTTATATAGCACAATTTCATACATGGAATATAGCTCAAAGTGCTTTACAACAGAAAACGAAATGTAGAACAGGACTGTATTTCATTGCTATAATATAAAATATGGCTGCTTATCCTGCTCAGAGTCCCAGAGGCATCCCGTGATTCATTTTTTATTTTAACAGCAATCACGTACCTCGCAAGAGCACCAAGTACCTGGCCTTATACCGGAAACCAGTCCCAAGGTAACAGGCTTCCGTCACGGACGTCTCCCGCCGTCTTTCTCCCCCCTCGCCCCTGTTTCATTACACGGTTGTCCGCTCTCCACCAGCTGGGCGAAGCTGACCTGCAGCTCCTGCAGTTACTCCACTCTGCTGGGTGACCTGATGGCCAAGCATCTGGTCCAGTTCCCCAGCCACAGCTACAGCCTCTGCTCCTTGAAAGGTGGGTGTCGGTATGCAGCCACTGGGGGAGATGTGCATGTATACTGGGTCTGTTCTGACCATAAATAAAAACTCCAGTCAGCTATTTAAAAAAAATGAGTGATCGTGTGCAACGTTTGACCTGCTTCTACTTGCATTTCATTTATAATTATGGTGGATCCTTCCTGTTGGCCCCTTGCAGTTTTGCTGTTCGTCTGAGTCGCGGTTTCTATATCCTGTACCCAGAATGCACTGGTGAACTTTTATCATCACCCTCCCCTGCCCTGAAATTGCATATATCTGGATCATATCATATCATTAACCTTGGTGTCTGTGGGACCGTTATGCCATAGTGAGAACGGATTACCTAAAAATACGATGCACTGGTATTTTTTGGCTGCCTAAATGGGTATCCATATGTAACTGGGACTTCTGGGTACATGTGGCAGAATGGTAAGAGCCAATCGAGTGGCTGCGGGGGCGGGACCTGAGCTGACTGCAGGAAGTGTGGCTGTTTGCATTACGCCTCGCCTTTCCCCATGATTACACTTCACAGGAATGATGGACGAGTATTTGTGAGAGCTCTCTGGACGCAAAGTGAATCAAAGCATTCAAATCCTAAGCAGATGGAGGCAGGAAAAAGTAGAGAAAGAAAAAAAAAAAAAAAAACAACGCTTATGAACAAAGGAGGAATATCAATCTAAAGAGAAAATGGAAAAAGAAAAGAGCCCCAGCGGAGGAGAGGCCTAACTGTGTTGTTCCTCTGACCCCCCCTCCCCCCCTCCCCACAGAACGTCTGGAGTCGGATATTGAATGTCCTGAGGTTGAGGAGGATGATGATGAGGAGGAACCGGGAGGGGAAGCAGGGAGTGGAGGTGGGGACAAGCCAGACTGGTCAGCCGCGGACAGCTGGGGCAAGCCAGAAGAGGGCACTGCAGTGCAGGAGTTCGCGGGCGAACATGGCCCCGCCCACTCGCTGGCTAAGAACGCTGACGCCATCGACTTCTTCCATCTGCTCTTTCCCACGTCCTTCCTGGACGTTATCGCCAAGGAGACAAACGCCTTCGCCACGTACAGCCAGGTGATGGGTCAGGGTGATCCCGACTGGGTCCCGGTCACCGTGAGCGACATCCAAGGGTTTTTGGGCCTCAGTATCCTGATGGGCCTGCAGAGCCTCCCGGAAATAGAAATGTACTGGTCCGGACAGCACCATGATAACTGGCAGACGTTCCTCAAGACGATGGCACCTGAGCGATTCCGGCAGATTGGCACGCACTTCCGCGTGGCTGGCTACAGCGAGGACGAGCAGGACTATCTGGACAAGCTGCGCTTGATCAGGCCCATTCTGGAGGTTTTGGACTCCACTATGTGGGAGGCCTACAAGCCTAAAAAGTGTCTCACCATTGACAGGGCCCTCCTGCCATGTCTGGAGACTGACGGCGCCAAAGAGAGGCGGAGCATGGGTCAGCCACAGGTGTGGCTGCTGTGTGACTCGAAGTCTGGGTACTGCCATCGCTTGATTGTCCGGAATGAATGTCGTGGGCAAAAGAAGAGTAAGGAGTTGGGCTTCAGGGTGGTGCTGCCCCTGCTGGAAGGCCTCCAGGGCAAACACCATCAGGTGTTCCTGGCCAGCTCCCTGACCACTGTTCCTCTCGAGCTGCGGTTGCTCGAGTGCGGTACCTACTGCAGCAGCTCCTTCCCCCCTGAAAGTTCCATATTCCCCAACGGCCTGTGGGCACAGGCCAAGCTGGATAATCCAGGGGATTTCCTCCAGCTTCAGTGCGGCCCCCTGCTGGCCACGCGCTGGAAGGACAGCAAGGAGATGTGCTGCCTTTCCACCAATGCCGCGCCGGGGCTGCCCGACACCGTGTGGAGGAAGTCCCGTGCCAAGGCGGGCGAGTTGGAACCCATCGAGCGGCCCCAGGCCTTCCAGCTTCTGCAGGAGAACATGCGAGGTGTGGACATCTGTAACCAGCTGCAGGCCTGTAATCCGGTGGGGGGCCTGACCTGGGACACCCGGTGGCGCTGCCTCCTCTGGTTCCTCCTGAACCTGGCCGTGATCAACTCCTTCATCATCCTCCGGGAGACCATGAAGGAGAGCCCCCCCTGGTGGCTGGAGGACGGTCACTTCTCGCAGGCCCGTTACCGCAAGCGCCTGGGCTTCCAGCTGGCGAAGTGTGCCCAGCGCGCGGCCCGGCTCCACTTCAGCGCTGCCAGGCAGGCGCCGTCGCCCCCCCCGGGCCACAGGCTGGTCAAGGTCTCGCTGAAGACCAAGCGGTGCAAAAACTGCAGCCTCAAGAACTTGCGTCACGAGAGCGTGTTCGGCTGCTCGGAGTGCGGCGTGAACCTGTGCAAGGGCGACCGCTGCTTCCGGGAGTATCACAGCCTCCCGGCCCGCAGAAAAGGTCCTTCCACACAGACGCTCCGTCACATACGTGAGTGCCAGTGAGAGTACCACCCACGCAAGCCCCCCCCCGCACCCCAGCATGGGTGTAAATAGTGCCTATGTTGCAATGGAAAATGAAAGGGCTAAAATTATCTATGCAGATGTGCAATTCCTGAGTGAGATGCAAGTGTGTTTGATTTTGTTCTGCATCAAGTGACTGCACTTAAAGGACTAAAGTACTCGTTAGTTTATGTGCTATGGGGGAGAATGTGTTCGTGTTAAAACAATACCCCTTATATTCTTTTTTCTTTCTTTTTTTTTTTCATTTTGTCTTTTTTCATTTTCTTTTTCAGGATCCCCAAAGCTTGGATATGTTATGGAAAGGCAGAGGTACTTTTCTATATAAAACCTTTTGCTAAAGGCTTTAGTGTTCATGGTGGTGGTGGTGGGGGGGGGTCCTGGTGTGTTTAGATGGTCTTTCCAGCAATACGTCAGGCATCAGCACACATACTACTGACAAAGCATTAAGTTCTACAGGCTCATATCATTTAATTCAGGAAAATGGTTCAAATGGTTTGCCCCCCCCTTGTCTTTTACAGTAATACCATGTTAAATACATTGTATAGAATGTTCTGCACTGTTCCACTTTGCTTATTACCAGAGCAGTATAATTTTCTTACTGTAAAACATGGTAATTTTATAAACCTGCCTCGTTTTGGAAGTGTATGAGATATATGTTATGGTGAAGAGTGAGAAAAATTTGTTCATATATTTGCATTAAAATTGCTGTTCTAAGTTATGGAACCTTCTGTGTGGATAATTTAATAATTGTTTGACAGTGAAGACTATGTCAGTATAGACATCTACCTGCCCGTACCCCAACAGACTGGTGTTTGGCTACCTGGCTACCAGTTTTTAGATAGTAGTAATCATTAATGCAGCATAGCAATCACCCTGCATATAAATCTGTATTTAGTGAATGTTGCAAACAAAATTTTAAACTCTGTAGCAAAGTATTAATTATATTTTTTTGCTCATTCAAGAACAGTCATTCAAAGATCATTTTCAGTGCTAAAATAATGACTGTGGTGTAGTATATTTTGTATGAATACAGATAAATGCTTAAATAAAAAAATTGAATACTTCAGAGCTGGTACAGCTGTGTTCATACATACTTAATGGCCTTGCTTCAGGCTCATATATGTACATATAAAACAGATATCATGATTATTAGTTTAGTTCCTGCCAAGCTCTCATGTTCCTTTCCTAGTTTAATCCAAGTGTCTGCACTCCTCTTACTTAACGATCCTCTGCTCCAGTATCTGACCTAAAACCGTAACTGTTTCATACAGGTATGCTTTTATGTCGTTTTACATGATACCATTGCAATTCGCATTAATCTCATAACCAAAGTACAATTCTTTAGTGATTTGCCCTTGTTTGGGTACCTCTGAGTATTTACGTTTTATACATTTTACGATTTTATAAAATATCAAGGTTTTTTAAATTAAGATGAGTGTTGTGGATGGATGTAAAATTGACAGTTGACTGTAATAGTTAAATGAGCATTGCTCTAGGTGCATGAGTTGTTATACTACAATATTATACTATTCTTTATAATGGACATTTTCCATACATGACCCAGCCATAATATCCCATGCAGAATCCCTGTGGCCCCAAATACTGATGCTCATTGCTACTCTTATTGGCTGCCTTGACTCATTTAATATTCATAAAATACTTTTCTATGAATTACTTTTAAGTGCCTGAGGTTTTGGAAGACATGCATTTGATTTTAAACCAAAACAAAACCTGAATATGGCGGGAAAAGTAATGTCAAGTAGAAACATGGTTGATATGATTTTGAAATAATAGATTTTTTCAAGCAAATATAAGTGAAGTGTAATCACACACTCAACCCTGCCCTTGAATGAATCAGAATCGTTGAAATGCGACTCGTCTGTTCTTGTAATTTTGCATTTGTTTTTGTGTCTTTCCTAGGCACCCATTGCCACAGAACAACAGCAGCAGCCAGCCAAGTGTAAGGCCAACATTACACACGATTCCTCCCGCAAGTCCTTCCCTGCATCCCCCCACAAATGTGGGCAAAGATCTAGACCAGGAAACAACTCCAGGGAAGCACTTGGATGTAAGCCTGAAATATGTGGCAAGGAAGGAGGCATTGCCGACAAATGAGCAAGAAGCAAGCTCAAAGAACGCAACTGATGCTTCCCATGGCAAGGAACTTAAGCCGGTGTCTTCTGCATCTACTGTAGCCCCTGTCAAGCCTGCAGTAGATGTAGCAGGGAGGAAGGAGCGGGAGGAGAACCTCTCAGTGCGTCAGCTGAGAATCGTACTCTTTGCTCTCTGCTGCGGCATCCCCCAAGCTGCCGAACATTTCAGCACTCAGCCGCAGCTCATTGAGACCTGGCTGTTAGAGAAGGAACGCCAGCTTCGGCGAGAGGGCCGACCCAGTTCCGGGGGGGGTGGCGAGGCTGTGGATCGCCTGGTGGAGTGGGTGTTGGCTCAAAGGGAGCAACAGCTCCCCGTCACTGAGAAAAGTCTCTTCCAGAAGGCCTCGGAGATCCATAGGCATGCCAACCCCAGCAGCTCTTTCCGTATCTCCTACGAGTGGGCTGTGGGCTTCATGCTCCAGAATGACCTCGGCCTGAGACCCACAGACATGGTGGGCCGTCGCCTGCCTTGGAGCATGGAGGATAATGCCCAGGGCTTTACCAAGTTCGTCCACAAGCAGATCCAGGTTCAGAATTTTTCCCCCTCCGTCATCTGTGCCATGGATGAGCTCTCGGTCTTCGTGGACCTGGATCTCCTGGGAAACCCTGTCACCGTGGGCAAAGAGGCCGCGTTCCAGCTAGTAGGGACCGGCGAGTCTCTGTGCGACATCTTCTTGGCCATGCTAGCTGATGGAAGACTGCTGCCAACCATGGTCTTCTTCAAGGGCCAGCTACCGGGGCGGCTGCGTACCAACCTGCCTGAATCCATCCTGTTCGAGGCCAAAGCGGAGGGCTTCACAGAGGATGAAGAGCTAGAGCTTTGGATCTCTCGGGTGTGGCAGAAGTACATGAACTCGCAGGGAGAGAGCAAGGCCATGCTCATCATGGACCCATTCCGTAGCCACTTATCAGACGTCCCCTTGGCCTCCTTCAGTGCCGCCAACACTTTGCCAACTGTCATTCCAGAGGGCTGTACCTGCCGCCTCCAGCCTCTGGAAATGTGTGTGTGGCCCGTCTTGCAGGCGTTCCTGCAGGCCCGCTGGACTCGGCTAGTTGCCCAGGGTGGGGCTGCAGGTGCCAGTGACAAAGACCTGGTCCAGTTGTTGATGGCCTGGCTGGTGGAGGCACTAACGTGCCTGAAAAGCTTGCCTGATCTTCTTCGGCGCTCGTTTCATGTGGCCCGGGTCCTCCCAGGGATGACCGGTGATGCTGCTCCAGTGGAGGAACAGAGGGAGATGGTGTGCAAGCTGACGGAGGCCCTCCTGGGTCCCGAAGCACTCAGGACAACATCGGCGGCACCCAGGGAGTCAGAGACAAATTCAGGTCCAGAGAATGAGAGCAAATTGCATGGTGAGGATGAAGAGGATGGAAGGGAAGTGGACAAAAAGCAGGAGGCAGCAGGAGAGGTTGGAATGGAAGTGACAGAGGTTCAAATGAATGAGGAGCATTTGAAGAAATATGAAGAATTTGGTGCGGTTTTGCCTCCCGGCTCCCTTGTCCCAGCCAATCCCCAGGTGTTGCACCAGATCTTTGACAAGGACAGTGATGCTGAGTCCTTCCATGGGTTTGACGACGCTGAATTTGGCCCTGAGCAGGAACCTGAAGATGCCTCCTCACCTGTTTAGCAACATGGCCGCTACTTTTGCCTCAACTATACAGCTTACAGGAAACTTAAAGCAGGGACAGATGGAGCAGACTAACCCTTTTCTGTTTTCCTCTCTCACAGCTGGTTATTGCACCAGTCCCTGAATGACAAGCCTTAAGAACGAAAAGCTCTGGCTTTGCTGAGTCTCTAGTGAAGCAAAAAACTAGGGCTGAGGGGAACATGAACCACGTTTGTTTGTCGGTGTTTTGGTCTTTGGCACTTAAGGGCAAGAAGCTTTTAAAAGAAATGCAATGCTTTTTGCAGAGTTCTGCTGTACACATTAAAAGTATGATGTGTAATAATCTTTCTTATGTGACGTTATTACTAAAATCGAGTTTTTCAGATGTGAACTGCAGTTGTGTCATAGTATGATGCTGGTTTTTAGTGACGGTCTTTCAGGTCCTTAGAAAGGCTAAACTGTCCATTCTAAGTTTGAAGACCAATGTTTCTATATAGTTTGAAAATATTTTATTTATTCTAGCAATTTAGTTTGCTGCAGGTGGCTTGTCTTGGGGTGGTTGGGTGCTTCCATTCTGTACAGATCCAGCTGTTTTTCATTGAATATGAAGAAAAAAGCTCTGGTCGCATATACTGTGATTGTGGTTTAGAGTTTATTTATGTTGCATTTGATCAGTATGTCGTTTGACTCATTTCAGCACCATTGATGGGAAAAAAAAAAATTGGAGTGTGAAGGAGAGCTTGCGTTTTGTAACTGAAACAAGCAGTTTAAAGCCAGGCACAAACATTGACGAATTGACTGGCAGCTTGTTTCTTTTTGGTAACGTGTGATTAGTATAATACTGCAGAGTGACTGCATGAATAGTCATTCAGTGGCTGTGGCCTTGCACTAATTTAAACGAACAGCTCGATCATTTGTGACGAGCAGACCTATATCGAGTGTGGTGTTTTGCAAAGCCAAGTATAGCGTAAGATAGAAACATTTTTAAAAATGCATTGACTCTGCCAGTTTTTTGGCAGCTTATAGGATAACTTATTTCTGCATTTTTAGTGTAATCGGAAGATTCTTTGTGAGAAAGAATGTTTCTTGCACATATCATTGCTTAAGTTGGTCTGAGAGATGTCAGTGTGTGACAGAGTCTATTTGCACCAGTCTGGAAATTGATGAATATAGAGGGAATTTATCTCTCAAAAATGATGTGAAAAGTGCTAGCTACCTCAGGAGTGTATCCATGGTACGAAATGGCTCTTCTGCTCCCAAAACCAGATGGAACTGAGGTTCCATGATGATGTGGTCAAGGACCTTCATCATGAGACGCATCCAGATCTTCCACAGGTGAGAAGCAGGCTTGGTGAAGTGCTGTTCTTTGTCATGTAAAGAACTGATTCATATTAAACTGAGATGCTTGTCAAAGATATGGAGCATAAAATGGATATTTGTAACGTCTTTACACTTCAGACTCATTCCTCAATGGATCTGTGTAACTTTTTAATGAGGTTTAAAGACAAAGTACAGCAGTTGGGTTATTTTCTAAATTGGCAGGGTTTTGTATTCCGTCTTTCATTCTCAGCCAGTTTTTTTTTTACTAAAAATGTCTTGATTTCTGAAATAAAGGAAGCAAGAAAATGTCTGCCTGATAATTGTTCTTAATTCGATTACTTACCTTTTTCCATTAAAAACTTTGCATATTTTGATAATATGGGTTTATTATCAAAACAGATATTCTAAGTTTTTAACAGAAAAAGCTACAAGTACTTTCTCAAGCCACCAGACTATCATACATTTACTGAGCTTTGTGAAAACCATGTATATATCATTTGAGTATATTACAATATCACATACGGAACCTTTATTAGCAAATCTGAAAACCACTGACCACAGAGCATCATTTGCTTTTTATTTGAGGTTTAGTATCTATGTACACAAAGGATGAAATATGAAACGTTCAAGTATCTTAAAATACCAATATTCTGCTGTCCCAGACAGTAGCTAAATTTAGCGGGAATCCAGAAATTAAACAGGTAAGATGGTGATTCCACTTGGTCCTTTCAGTGAAGAATTGTATGGCGAATTGTTAACCAAACTTGTGTATGGAGAAAAGCATTGAAATAATTTAACTGGCTATATATAAAAGCACTAAGCTATCAGATAAAAGAGCAATGTCTGTATAGTTTCTAGTGGGTAAAGACTGAATAAAGCTTGTTCTGTGTCCAGCAGAACCATAAGCTATAGTGTATATGGTAAAGCATAGCATTTGTTTAATAATAACACCAATGAACGTTTCTGAAGATTGGAATAGAAGATGGAACATATAGAAGAGACCTTTGGAAGAAACATGGTTGGAAGGTTAACATTAATATCAGGGCAGCTCAGTGTACAGCACTGTTGCCTTAAAACATCAGCATTGCTAGTTCATGTCCTTGACTTGTACAGGTTTTCTCTTAAACTCCATTTCCATTTCAAGAAGTGTTCTGTCATGGGTGCACATTCTCTCTGGGGTGTAGCCCTATACTGCATGAGATGCTCCAACTGATCCTGACTAGGCTAGGTGATTATCAGATGGATGGATTTTGTTTCACGAGTACCACCACAGCTCAGTATCCGTTTTCAGGACCATATCAAAATACTTTTCCTCACCACCAGCAGCTGCTGTACTTTGGACCAGAACTTTGTGCTTAGCCCCTCCCTCCGTTGTTTAATACGCCATTTATAAATGCAAAGCATGTAACTTCCTGATATCGAGCACCATGTTTGATACTTGTTTTGCAGATTTAAGTACAACCTCTTCAGGCAGATGTCACAGTGAAAGAGTTTTAAAGCAACTTTATATCAGTTACGACGAAAGAGAAAATGACTTGGCTAGCTTTCGTCTCCGCTATCAGAAGCGGTCAAAACTTTACCTTCGTTTCCTTCCTGTTCTGAAGAGCAAAATTATTCCTTATTACAAGTTTAATTTCCAACAATAAACGAGAAAAGTATCCTGGAGTTTTTTTTTAGGCCTACACTAGATATTTACCTCGTTTGTTAACGTCACTTGTAGAATAGAATGACGGGTAAGGCAGTCTTTCGAAGTTAAAAACCGAAATATTTGAGCTAAATATCAGAAATATGTTGACATAAAGTAGGCTGACGTAGTAACGGGGCAAATCTCCAGACATCTATATCCCCAAATAGGTTGCAGTAAGGACTGACCGGTGGATAAGTACGTTATGCACGTTTTGACTGCGACCTCCCCCCCCCTTCCCCGTCACGCAGGTGACCTTAGACGGCCGTCCGCCGCTCACAACACAAGCGAGAAGCAGGAGGGGAAGGACGGTCGCCTTAGGAATTACCGAAAATTGTTCATCCAGAGCAATGGGTATGGTATTCTTCACTTTGTTCTAGTGTCAAAGCATTTATTCCATGAACAGAGAATACCATTCGTGTATGTCTTCAATGCTCGAAAGTTGGGTAAGCTTCAGTGCATAACCTATGTCTATAACTGTAGTAGTTTAACGTCAGACTACTTTAAGGAATATATTGTATACTTTTCTGCTAGAAAAATGTTACATGCACACATATAATGCTTTTGTTTAAAACACATTTTTTCGTGTTTTTTGTTTTTGATTTTTTATTTTTTTGCAAATTCGTATTTAGGCATATGCAATTTCCAGTAACGTACTCTATCTCTAATTTTAATTAGAAGAAATGCGTGTCAATACTGGGTAACTGTGTAGGACAATGAGCAAATAGTAACATCCATTAGCGTGCATATTACTACCGCCGAGTGAGGTTTTCTTCTCTATGGCTTCATAGCGAAATATTCCCACTGTGGTTAAGAGAATGATTACAATTCTTGAGATTAAATTTGTAAAAGCACGATGACGCTTTACTGAAATGCAGCGTAAATGTCTTTATCTCTAAACATATTATATTATTTTTCATCCACACTGTACTTTTAAACGAGGAGCACACTGGAACTCCTTTTTTGCGTCTCCTCTGTTATACAGGTCGTGCGTGTTTTGCTTTTTAAAGTGGTCTGTAGCCTGGATCGAAGCCAGTTCACATTTTGTGTTTGTAAGTGAAATTAGATGTTAATCGCTGGCGTGTTCAGTTTGAATGTTAACATAATATACCCAGCGAATAGATTTAGTAGTACGTGTGGTTAAATACTCATCGTACATGCATGTAATTGTCATCGGCTGGTAGAATAGCCCAAACAGCAACTAAATTAATCGCTCAAAACGTCTTGACCTTAGAAATGTGACCCACCTCAACAAGCCTTTAAACTAAAATCAAATCAGATGCTTACCCATTCTCCGTACAACTGTATATATCAGTCACATTCAAACAAGCATGAGAGCAAAGGCTAAAGTATCACTCATTACCTTTTAGGACGTGAATAACTAATTGAAGTGAAGAAAATGTGAATAAATACAGGAATATACTCAAGATTAAAGTCATTAAATATTGTCTTCCAAATCACTACTGACATAAATTATAAACGTAATAATGGAATAAACGTAATTTTGAGTCTTGTGATTCCATATAAAAGCACCCAGTTTGAGAACTGTCCGACATTCATACCTCCTTTGTTATGGCATGTATGGCATTTGAAACTTTGGCGCGTGCTTAATTCTGTAAAAATGTTGCAAATTAGTTTCATAACCAAAGTTCATTGACAAGCAATACTTAACATATCTGCATATATCTTCCGCACAAACATTTTCTTTCTATCATAATTTTTTTGATTGACTCATTCAGTTTTGTTCTTGCCATTTTGCTATTTCACTGGCTCTTAAAGTGATACTAAACACATATTTTGTATTGTATGTTGTAGCAAAGGCATTACACCTAATGAGACTGCTTGTCAATGAACTTTTTAATTGGAACAGCTTTTTTAGAATTATAATTTGGGTTTCAATTTATTATTACTTGAATGTTTTACTTAACACTCGATTGTTTCTAATGTGATTTAATTTTGTAAAGTCTGTAATGTGATTTTTATCATGCCAATAAATTTGCAATATTTTTACTGATATTTAATATTAAACTAGGGCTGCCACTAACAACTATTTTTCTATATATTAATCTATCGAATATTTTACAGATTGGTCGATTAATCTGCATGATTAATTTTCCTCCATTAACGTTCATTTTCTATTGACCACAACAAACTGTATTGTAGGGCTTTAGGTAATAGATTCTGGCTTTTTGGCACTATACTGACGTTATTTACTCCCACAATTCGATAAGCACAATAGTAGTAAGCTTAAAATATTAACAAGAGGTGTATTATGATGCCCAAAAGTTAGTTATATGTATAAATTCAGCGTATCCTTATACTGAGCTGAGTGCCCCACATGGGACTGTTTTGTTACACCATGAAAGCGATAAGCACTGAAGTGGTGGTGAAGAAAGGGACAGATCAGCAGTCATGATATCTTTTAATAGAAGTGATATTGTGGATAAACAAGGTAAATAGTATTGTGGCAATACTTTTTGCAGTATAAAGTCTGACATTTGCTCTTGTAAATATAGTTTTCATTTTGTTCATTCATGTTTATTGAGTTGCCATTAGTATTGTAACATGCAAGGTGGGCACACACACACAGACATGTTATGTACAACGATTAACATTTAACACTTAACATAACACAGCACTGTTACATTACAATACATGCGAGAACTATTTACAGTCCAACCTGCCGCACTGCCCGCCAGTACCTCAGCAGTACAGTACAGAGAGCTTTTCAAGTCCTCTTGTCCTGGTAGCTGCTAAACACACTGATCATTAAAGCCATAAAGTAATTTGCCTGCTACCTTAAAATTTCCATTGAATAAGTGTTTGAGAAAATGTTTAGGCTAGAATCTAGGCTTATTCTTCGTTGATTAGCGGTGCCGGTGTGTGTTCATGCGCGTTGGGCTTGTGGGGACCAGTGTTATTATCGTAAACAGAAACAAAAGGGTTACTAAACAGATAATAATAATTCGTGAACTGCAATGAAAATGAAATTACCCTTTTGCTATATTTCAAAAGTATATTTTCACAATATATGTATGATTTGAAATATATGTATGATTTATATTTTCTAGTTCTGTGTGTTAGAGCAGTGTTTCCCAATCCGGTCCTCAGGGATGCACAGACCACATTTTTGCTCCTGTGGAAAAAAACACTGTGTTAGAGCAATGAGAGGACAAAAATTCTACTATTTGATTCTTTTTCAAAGAGATCCTGATACTCAGTTACTATGGAAACGGACAAGCGGTCATCAACACAGAGCTTTGAACCTTAGTGCTTACAAAATGCGGCTCAAACTGTTGCCTTTGACATTTTCACATCCTGCTGCACTGCACGGTTTATGCACAATTTCCTGAATACCAGAAAAGGACGAATCTTGCACTTCAACTCATGTTCATCAGTCCCAATTTGTCGTTTTTTTTTTAAATCTCAAGTTCCTGAGTAAGACTAAAATGAATATTTATCTATGCTATTATTCACAACTATCAGTATTATCCATTTTAATATGAATATGATATGAATGACATAATTTGAAATAGATTTTTTCAGATTTGAAAAATTAGAAAATACTGTGTACTCCAGAATTATTGGCAACCTCGAAGAAAGAGGGGTAAAAACAATATTATAAAATGAGCAATGTAAGAATCAAATTTCCCTCAATGTGGTATAATAATATTAATAATAATAATTTGCTGTACGTGGCCCATGGGCCCTTGTGAGGATCAATGGTAAGACTGCACGATATTGGAGAAAAACATTGCAATATTTTACATTTTTGGTATTAATATTCCAATATTTATAAAACAAAAGGAGGTGAAATTTACTTGGAATAAACTATAGCCAAATAGAACTTTTCTTCCGATACAGTGTGTCAATAAGTTGGTGGTGTTCCTGCAAGTCGTCAACAGACACAAAGCAGTGCTTTTGCTCAGTATGGTCAATATATAAATATTTTCATACAGCAGTTGTTAGTTTTCCTCCTCCCCATTCATTTTTAATAAATATCTCACAAACGCGCCACACTGTCTGTGAGTAAGTCTGACAGCATGGAGAAAAATGATTATATGATTGGCTCGAAGAGCACATGCAGAACTCATACAAAAGGAGCAAAGTAAAGTAGGTTTTTTTAATTTTATTAATTATGTACCCCATTTCTTCAAACGATCATTAAAATTGCAAGACTTACCAAGTTTGTTCCCTGTGACAGAGTGAAAATGTTTTAGCGTAACTTATCTTAACCAGGCTGACTATTGTGGTTTTTGCCATGTGAAAATATTATTTGTACATCGTTGGGCTAAATACTTTGGAAAAAGTATTGATAGCTTAATACTGAATATGTAGCCTTAAAATTATTGTGGAAATGTATTCCATTACGGTGGACTTACATAAAAAGTAACATATTCAGAAGACTTTAAGATCACATTTAGAATAGGCTAATATAATAAAAATTACCTTTGTGTAACAGCTGTACAATATTTTTTTTTCTTTTTGAAATACTTCTCGGTGGGGTTTTTTTTGTCTTGTGTGATAAATGATGGGATTCTCTTTTAAATGTATGTTTTACTTACCCAAAGGATGCACGAAGGAATAATTTTTGGAAAATAGCAGGTCGGGCATAGTTTTGTCTTCATTATATTCACATTGGGAGTGGTGGTCGGGTTGAAATAAAGCATAGTTTGAGTTTGGGTCGCTTGTGAATGGATGTGTATCACTGGCTAGATTGAGTTTCAACTTGAAAGCGTCATTTACCTTGTTGTTTCTTTAAATTAAAAGTGGAATCCTTCGTAGACAGTTTTTAACCATTGGCAGGCACAGTGAAAAGTGTGCATATGATGATTTATGAAGGAAAAGACATATCTTTAAAAAGAGATTTTTCCTTTAAAAAGATTTTATTTTCTGTTTTACCGTGGATATACTCTAAAGTAGTTATTCTCTTATTTTTTAAGAAGTAACCGCATTCTAAATACTTTTTTCAGAATGCAACATGGACTAAATACAGATAAGACGACTTATTTTTAAATTATTTTATTATTATTTTTATATATATTATATTTAGTATGAATACATACTGCCATTACATGTATTCTGTTACATCCAACCCTGCATGTAAATAACATGCGATGTCAGTATTAAAATTGCACATTGTGCAGCTCTATCAAGAATGATTGTGATAGGTGGTTTGCTGTGCATGCAAAGCTTGCATGTCACTCACTAGCAACAAACTCCATGAATCCAAAAACCTGGATGCACGGAGTTTGTTGCATGTTATAGCAGAGAGACTTTTCTTGTAGATAGTAGGCAGCCATGGAAAATTAGAACTGTGCGAGTTTTTCTTTTGTATCAAACATCAAAAATGTTGTACCACGACATTTTCAATTTAATTTGAAATCACACGTCTTGCGGTCTGATTATCGCATTACACGCACATCGCAATGTTGATGCTGAAACATCATGAATTCCACTAAATACTATGACTTTTTAACCAAAACTCTAGCTGCCTCTGTCAGAACGTCTGTCAGAAACGTATCCCAAGCACACATCAAATCAACAATGAAACCGTTACAAGAACATAAAATGAAGGTTTTGCAAAGGCCATCTCAGTCTCCAGATCGGAATCCACTTGAGAACCCGTGGTCATGCCCGTTCCTACCATTGAGGACACCGAGGTCAGTATCTGCAACTCAAATAACCACCGTCCATTACAGGGCACACCTAGGAAGGGCTAACGCTTTTGACCTCGGTATTTAAAAAATCCTGGCTACGGCCCTGCCTGTGGTGCGAGCTGAAGTGGACTGTCCGCCGGCGTAAACCCTTCACTAATAAGGAATTGGAGTTATACTGTTTGGAGGAGTGGTCCATTTCTCAGAAAGTATTCTCCAAGCTTGTTACAAAAAGCTGCTATAGTTAGTTCAACTTACGAACTTTCAGACATACGAACAAAGAGGACTGTAAGTCCAAATCGTGTTCATTGGGCTCCCGTTTCCTGTCCGCAACATCAATTTTTTTTGCTGCATGCCAACTCTGCCTAGTACAACTTCTGGCCGCAAGTTACGATTGGAACGTATCTCATTCGTAAGCAGAGGAGCGTCTATATATGTTTAGATTGACTTTGCTGATATTATGTGTTTCAGAGACCATAACTTGATCATATGATAAAAATTGTAATACCTTTATATTAACCTTTATATTTCCTGTTCACTACATACACCAAAACCTGTTCTGGATTAGAGGTTAGCGTCAGTCGTGTGGAAATAGTTGTATCACTTTTGACAGTCTTTGTCTTACTCTTCTGTGTTTCTCTTTTCACAATAGCCAAGTGTGAAGGATGTGGACCTGGCTACAGAAGCCCTCTGGAGGCCATGAAAGGTAACATCATATCTGCGTATAGCCCTCTGTGACGACAGAGCAAACATGGAAGAATAATGCACCCAGAACTGGGGCTGGTGAGATAGGGGGCGGTGGCTAGAGTGGAGGTTTGTGCATTGATTTAGTGTGTGTGTGTGTGTGTGTGTGTGTCTGTGTGTGTGTGTCTGTGTGTCTGTGTGTGTGTGCTTGTTTTTAAGGGCCACGTGAGGAGATTGTCTATGTGCCCTGCATATACCGCAGCACTGGCATCGAGAAGCCAGATTATCTGGCAACGGTGGATGTTGATCCGAAGTCTGCAAACTACTGCAAGGTAACTTCTCCGCACCTAGTGGATTCATTAAGACCATTTTCCTCTTTAACCTGCAGGTCAGGCTCTGAAAGATAAATGGGTTTGTAAGGAAGACCAGTGGCCGGTCTTGTGGGTAAGGGTGGTGATGTCGGTGTCGTGTCGGTGTCTCGGTCAGGTCATTCACCGGCTGCCCATGCCGAACCTGAAGGATGAACTGCATCACTCGGGGTGGAACGCATGCAGCAGCTGCTTCGATGACCCCTCAAAGACACGCAGCCGACTCATCCTGCCTGCTCTGATCTCCTCTCGGGTCTATGTGGTGGATGTGGGCAACGACCCCCGTGCTCCACGTCTCCATAAGGTAAATGCTCACAGCCCACAAGCAAAACCACAAAGAATTCCTGTTTAACCAGTATGAATTTTTTCCACAGCCTTTCTATAGCTGGAACAGGAGAAGACTAAGCACTTGAAGTGAATGTAATTCTATATACATCCTTGTTTAAAAAAAATGTAACTCAAAGCTTTTCCAGGTACATGTTGACTGGGTTGTTTTTCCACTTGCTGTCTGCAGATTGTGGAACCCACAGAGCTCTTCTGGAAATGCGGGCTGGCGAATCCACACACCAGTCACTGTCTTGGTAGCGGGCAGGTCATGATTAGTGCCATGGGGGATCCTTCTGGTAATGGGAAAGGTGAGACTCTCGGCGGGGGGGGGGGGGCAAACTGCATGGAATTCAAGGAAAAGCAGAATAGATTTGTGCAAGAAATGTGACACAACAACTTAGGAACTGAAATTTAAAGAAAATGAACATGAGAATTGAATTAAAGGTTTTCTTTCCAATTAGCAGATATCCCGTGATGCCTGACTTGCCTTTGTTTATTACCTCCATTTTTTTATTGGCTCAAACCATGGGCGTCCTTAGGTCCGATCACTTGGGGCTGTTGCCCCGATGCCAATTGTCTTTTGAAGAAGAAAAAAAAAGTCAAGCCCAGGGTAAACTTGAGTTAGCCCCTGATGTTTTTTTCAACGCCCCTGGCTCAAACCTTCTGACACAGTTTCTTGTAGCTACGGAAAAATGTGTAAACATGAATGTTAAGCTTTCCAGCTCGAAGAGGAAGTGTGTGCACACAAGTCAATGACGACACCTAAGCCATATGAATTTTTAACTTGTTCTCATGAGACAGAAATTGAGCCATGTCGTAATTTACTGAAATAATAATAAGATTAACTGAACAATTAACTACGGATGTCCCAATCCACTTTTTTGGTACCCTGTCCCGATCAGATCCTTTCTACATCTGCCATTTTCGAGTCCTGATCTGATCTTTTAATAAATTTACATACAGATATGGTATGCGTTGGTGCATTCTTTGTCTGAGTAAGCCTCACGATTTTGCAGTATTCTCCGTTATGATGTTTCTGTGAGTGCATAATTAGGTTCATTGTATTATACAACGCTTTGTCTGCTGCCTTCTCTGGAAAGGAGGGCATTGCAGACATAGGCTTTTGGGCCACTTTGAGTTTCCAATTTAAAGAATTTCCACACGGCTGACATTTCGCTATTTTTGTAGTTACTAGCCATGTGACTCAGGCTTACTGCAGTGTGTGATGGAACCTTACAATCTGCCCAGCTAATGTAAATTGAATGTGGAAAACTTAAGTAGACCAGGCTTTGGTTTGGGCTGTGGTAGCGAATACCGATCAGTTAAAAAATGCCAGGATCAGCCCTGATTGCGATCTGTGATATTGGCTCAGAACATCAAAGCAACATCATACTCATTCTGGAGCTCATTCCACCACAGTGTGATAAAATGCGCTCCTGGGATTTTTTTACTGCCTGCTGATATCAGGCACTATAATGCCTCCTCCCCATGCCGGCCCCCACCGCAGATCAATAAAATATATTGATCTAATCTATTTAATCTATAAATGGAGACGTTTGGCAGTGCCTAGTAGGTTGACTGTTCTTATCAGGCAAGTAGCAGCATAGTAAAATTTATGGGTTTGAACTCTACCCTGAAATTTTGGCTTGTGGGAATTTTACTTGAGCAAAAATGTTCTGAGAGCAGAAAAAAATGATTGGTTCAGAGAGATAATTAGTCACATTGTAGAGGAGGTGGGTTCAAGCAACTAGTGGAGGCGGGACCACGACATCCTTTACAGTGTGATTGGTTATTTCTCTGAACCAGTAATTTTTTTCCTTCTGTCCTCAGAACATTTTTGTGTAAGTAAAACTCCCATGAGGCAAATTTTGTGTGCTACTGATCGGACACTTAGACAGTTACTAAAGCTGCGTTCCATTTGAACTCGGAAATTGAACTCGGAGCTTGGAAATTCCAGGTTCCTAGTCAGAAATTTCAACTGAAACTCTCCCTGAAGTCGGAATTCCGACATGAATCTACACAACCCCGACCTCAGAATTCAAGATGGCTGCGCCTTTTATCAACTGAAGTTAAAGCTGCAGTTTTATGCTGTTTATTAGCACTTATGTCTTATTTTTGGCTCATAAAATCAGTTATACACACACAACTGTCCAACAACTATCTTTAGAAGTGTTGCTACAGTGCTTTTATGTGCAAAATACCAGGAAATATGTTATCAACTGGTATTGCTAACTATGGCTAACAATGAACCTGCCTAGAACTGGGACCCGTTTCAGAAAGCAGGATTTCTTGCTTCACCAGATAATTTGTCGGATTTAAGGTAGTCTGGGCTAGATATAAGTGAAAGAAGCCCATTTAAACTGGGATACCTTAAATCTGACAAGTTCTCTAGCTAAGCAAGAAATCCTGCTTTATGAAACAGATCACTGATATTGCTAAATAGCTGTCCGACTTCTTGTACTGGAATGCGATTAACTCGGGTGTGACACCATTCCCAGCTGCAACTACCGACCTCCAGGGTAAATGGAACGCAGCATAACAAACCAACCCCCCCCCCCCAAAATATACTTCCGCTCCGCACCTGGGTGAAATCTACTGGCAGGGACCCCCCTCTCCCTGTTCGGTGAGATCTGCAGCGGGAAACCCCCGAGATTTAGTTCTGCCTACAGGCCGGGTTCTTATGTTCCGCTATTGGCGCCTCCTAGCTGGCCCAGTTGGTCCTGACGGTAGCTCTGTTTGTTCTTGCTTGATAATCCATTGTGTAGTTCTTGTAGGCTTTTTTCCAACCTACCTGTATATCCCCAGCTCTGTTTTGAAGGGGTTGCTGTTTTAAGCACTTAGTCATTAGGGTTAGTCTCAGGTGCTTTACCAGTTTACTAGGATAAAGTCAGTATGTGAACTGTGAAAGCTGAAAGACTGGGGCCCGTCCTCATGTGACCGGGGGGCTTGATATCTGCCTCTTGTGTCTGGAGTTTGCACACTCTCTCCTTGGTCTTTTTTCCTCAGTCCAAATTGGTGTGTAAATTTGATGTGGGGTGTGTAGGCATGTAATGATGAATCGCGAAGCGGTTAAAAATCAATGTAAATGTATGACGATTTAAATTGGATGATGCGGAAAATGAATCTCTACTTTAGGAGTACTTCACAGTACTTTAACAGAAAAACTGGTGTAATATTCCATTTGATTTCACGACGTCAGTTCGGCGTCCGATGTCATTGCGTATTGACGTCGACGTCGTACGTTAGTTTTTGGTTTTGACCGAACGCGAGATGGCGAGCGAATTTGAAATTGACGACGCACCGCTGGGCGGCGCGGTGGTGCAGTGGTTAGCTCTGCTGACTCACAGCAAGAAGGTCTAGGGTTTGATCCCAGGTCCTTTCAGTTTCAGTTCACATGTTCTCCCCATTTTAGCCGGGGGCTCTGGTTTCCTCCCACGGTCCAAAAACATGCAGGATTGGTGAGTCTAAATTGGCCCTGTACACTGACATTGTAAAAGACTGATAACATACACAAATAGCACAATGAACATGCTTCAGCATCATGTGTCTCGTGAGATCCCCTGCCTCATGCCATGTGCTGCTCACCGTGATCCTCGACTGAATAAGTGTCAGGGATGATTCTAGGATTTTTTTAAGGTGGGGGGCATAAGAGGAGCCATAATTCATACAGAGTGGGCAGTTTTATCATTAGCCAATTGTATGTTTTGAATAAGTGAGTGACAGGGGAGGGGGCACTCTGAGGGCCAATCAGCTTTCAGCCAGGCCCAATGCCCCTGTGGTCCTGCCCTTCTAAGCAGATTAAAATGGTTGATGTAGGGATGATGTCCGTTCTGTATTCAGTAATCTCCTGTTTGCTTTTCTGTCTGTACTTTGGTCTTGTGTCAGGCGGCTTTGTCCTGTTGGACGGCGAGACATTTGAGGTGACGGGAAACTGGGAGCTGCCAGGAGAGGCTGCCCCGTTTGGCTATGATTTCTGGTACCAGCCTCGACACAACGTCATGATGAGCACGGAGTGGGGGGCTCCCAAGGTTCTGGCCAACGGCTTTAACCCTGCAGATGTGGGAGCAGGTGGGCTTGGGCAAAGTGTTTTTCTAACCCTTTATAAAAAGGTTTTTATTAAAGATTTCTTAAAATAATTGAACTTACTTATTTAATGATTCCAGCAATCACTTTTAGCCTCGTGTTAATGGATTACGAGCACGTGTTTATCGTGACAAACTGTGCCCCTAGGTCACTATGGAAGGCACATCCATGTGTGGGACTGGACCACACACAAGCACCTGCAGTCTCTGGACCTGGGGGAGGAGGGGTCCATCCCCCTGGAGATCCGCTTCCTGCACGATCCGGCTGCCCCGGAGGGTTTCGTGGGCTGCGCGCTCAGCGGCGCCATCTTCCGCTTCTACAAAACCGGGGTACCATGCAGGGTGTCCATTAATGCCACACTGGACCTAAGGGGGCGGGGGGGGGGGTCATGAGACGAAGCTCTGCTTCATTTTATCCAGCAAATCCTTCTGCATAGTTACTAATTTCCTACAAGTGAAGACCAGCCTCTTAATTGTAGCCTAAATGAAATACTGTGCGTTTGTGTGCTTATACTCAGAACAGTGACTGGGCTGCAGAGAAAGTCATCAGCATTCCCAGTAAGAAGGTGGAGGGATGGGTTCTTCCACAGATGCCCAGTGAGTGGCGGTTAACTGGTCCGCAGTGTGTGGATGAGCCCCAGAGGGACACTCATTTAAAGGGGGAACCACAGAAGTTAAATGGCAATAATTTACTGGGAAATGTGTGTTTGTGTGAGGCGTGGGTCCGACATCTGCCGTCTCTCCGTCCCCGTAGGTCTCATCACGGATATTCTGATCTCGCTGGATGACCGTTTCCTCTACCTGAGCAACTGGCTGCATGGAGACATCCGCCAATATGACATCACCGACACCAGGCATCCACGCTTGGCTGGCCAAGTGAGTTTTGAAATCAGACCTGGATCAAGCCAAAAACGACGTCCTGTATATAAAGTGAAGCTTTTCACACCTGTTATTAGAAGCAAGATAGGATGGATGTGTGACTCCGCAGGTTAGGATGCTTAGCCCTTGACTGGAAGGTCGCCAGTTTAAATCCCAAGGTCGACGGAGTGATGTCACCGTTGAGCCCTTGAGCAAGGCCCTTATTCCCCATTGATCCAGGGACCCTGCTTTCATAAAATGCGTGTCGCCTTGGATAAATGGGTCTGCTAAATAAAATATGAATGGATATCCGCTTACACGGCATAGACCCAATACGAAGAACATTTATAGCCATTAAAATGATTTTGTGTGTTGTGGAACCTGGGAATTTTAACTGGACGAGGTGTTTATTTGTCCAAGGTCTTTCTGGGAGGCAGCATCTTAAATGATGGCTCCATCAAGGTGGTGGAGGACCAGGAGCTAGAGAGCCAGCCAGCCCCTTGCGTCATAAAGGTTAGTCACACTAAGGGTTGGGTAATTCAGGTCCGTAGAGTAAAAGTCCAGACCGGGATTTTGTTTCAACCAACCAGTTGAGCATAAAAAGTCAGTCACTGAATACTCAACTGGTTGGTTGAAACAAAATCCCGGTCTGGACTTCTACTCTACGGACCTGAATTACCCAAGTCTGGTCACGGCAATGGATGTTCTTCGAAACCAGTAGCAGCTGGTGTCCTTGTGTGGAGCAGGGATCCTATCTGCTTGTGCTTGTGCATTCCTGCTCAGGGGAAGAGAGTTCCTGGAAGCCCGCAGATGCTGCAGCTGAGCCTGGATGGGAAGAGACTGTATGTCACTACCTCACTCTTCAGCAGCTGGGACAAGCAGTTTTACCCTGACCTCATCAAGTGAGAATCAAGTTTAACAATCATATTTAAGGCTCTACTAATCAGCTGGCTCTCATGTGTCTTGCGTGGTAAATGTTAACAGTGTGTAAGAGAAAAGCTTTCCGGAAAATTCCAGATGGGTTCAACAGCGGTTGTAGAATTTGGGTGAAAAACTGCACATTAATAAGAGCCCTCTGGAGAAAACAAATGCCTGCTGATACATCTGCAGAAGATGACACAAATGGTGTATCAGTATTGCTAATGCTGTTGTTTTGCAGTACACTGTCGATATCTTTTCTGTGGCTGTACCTTTTTTTGACTTTTTTGATTTATTAATTCTTTATCTTGGTTTACTTAACCTCAGTATCGCTAGTCCATCATTAGCTTCCCAGACTCATCCAGATCACGTTGTCATTAAATTCTTTTTAGGCTGCAGAAAGTGATTCTGGAATCCAGCACCTGTCTGGCAAACATCTGACTTGCTGAACAGCTGCGGGATGTTATGATTTTCGTTTGTTTAGTCAAACTTTTTTTCCTTCCCTCCTCCAACACATTGTCTGCCTCACTTCACAAAGTATACAATTGTTATCAGAGGTTAGTATTAGAGACACTTTAATGCTCATGGTCACCCAGGCTGAAGCCCAGGGATCTTTGCTGAAGAGGGGCCTCAGAAATTTTAACCGGGTCAACAACTTTCACCTTCACCAATGCCTCTCCCTGTGACCATGTTAAGTAAACCAAGTAAACCAAGATAATGTTATCTATCAATTTTTAATCAAGCCGTCTACCTGATGGTTGTAGTGGACAGCTTTGATGGACGTCTCTGTCGCTTTTCTGCCGCTCACCAGGGAGGGTTCGGTGATGATGCAGGTCGACGTGGACACTGTGAGCGGTGGACTCACCGTCAATCGGTCCTTCCTGGTTGATTTTGGAAAAGAACCAGATGGGCCGGCGCTGGCCCACGAAGTGCGATACCCTGGTGGGGACTGCACCTCCGACATCTGGTTATAACGTAAAGGGGTGGAGCTTCACATGTTTTGAACCATTCTAAGGACACGCTGACATTATTATTATTGCTGTCAAACTAATAATAAATGATTATAAATAATAAATATAGGTTGTGACTCTCATGATCTTCAGTCTATTTCTGTTGCTAGATAATATACATGAAATTTCAATGCTTTACCTATACAGACTTTTTATGACGGACACTGAAGCTGTATTGTGATGAATTTCTGAAGCACTTGTACTTTTTCATATAAAAAAATAAAATGTTAACCTTTTTGCAAATTAATGAGTATGACTGATAAATGCTGAGTGATCGGAAGGCCGCCGGTTCATATTCCAGGGACGGCAGAGTGATGTCACTGTTGGCCCCTGAGTGAGGCCCTTAACCACTGTTGGCCCCTGAGTGAGGCCCTTGACCCCCAACTGCTCCTGGGACAGACTAACCCCACTTTCTCAACTGTACTTTGCTTTGGATACAAGCGGAAAATAAATTGTAGTCCACTGAATTTTGGTATGAAGATGCTTTAATTAAATCGTGGTTCACATGGAGACTGGCCTGGGGGAGTTTATCATAATACTATTTAGTGGTTTTAAGAATATAATATTAAATATAATATTTTTTGCAGTTGTTCTAAGGGGAACATTTCATAGGGGTGTGCATATTACGGTAACTGGAGGGGGACATCTGATGAAGAGCCAGTTGTGGAAGTGGGCATGTCTAAGCTTATTTTCGCATCTCTATATCAGTGCTTATATTCTTGTAAATAATCCTTTTTCTGAGGAAAAATAAATGCTCTGGTCCATTAGTCTGATGCAATCAAAAGTGTTGAGGAAACTATGGTTATTTAAATGTTGTCTGACTGTGTACCACAATTTTAATAGATGGTTTTAGCCAAAGTTTCCCAGGGTTTTATGATTTTTACTCATTTCTCAGCTACTTATATGGAGTTAGTTTAATTCATGATTCAACTAGTTGCCAGCTGTCCAGTATAGCTTTTGAACAGCAGTGAATTGTGTACCATAAAACCAGACAACTTCAGACTATCAAAGGGGAATTATATTCTTAGCTACAAACCATTAACTGACTTCCTGAGGCATCAAGCATTCTGAAGAAAGCTTTACAATCCACATGAATCTGGTCTGAAAAGGAAAAATACGGCATTCAGAATGAAATGTATTCAGTAATTAGGCTCACATTTTTTTGCAGTGTCAGTAGTGTAAAGTATATTAAATTTAAATTGTAAAACCATTAATCCGATTAATTTATTGAATTTTACCCATAAATGACTGCTTCAAAAAGTTCTAATATTGTTTCTCACAAAGGAGTAAGTGATTTACTAAACAGCTGGGTAAGTCATTTAGTACGTTATAACGTTTAATAATATAAAATGCTTTCATCATTATATCAGCGGCTAAACTCAGTTTCAATGGAGGCAGCATCACGTATTGATATCTTTTTACCAATATAGATATGGAGGTCACGTAGCATAAGGTGGAGTTTGGCGCCATCATGTGGTTGGGTTGCTTCTAATAACCGCTGTATTTTTCTGTCTCTGGTTATAGCCTTTGCGTAGCAAATTTTCCATGCTTCGTGGTACTGGGGCAAGGCTGCGATGGTGCACTGGCCTTATTTCCACTTTATTATGGAAAAGAACATTTTATTTTGTAGATAGATTAAACTGCTTTCGGAAGAGTGAGCCTTATAGTGAAACTGAAGGAGATAAGTTATAGCTAGTAAATTAAGATTTTTCATATCTTAAATTCATGTTTTATATTCAAGAGTATGGTTGACACAATTACGTAATAATGAAATTTATTTAGCAGACAGGTACGTCATAAAAAAATAAAGCCAATATTGAATTCTTGTGAAGTACAAATGGGCGAGCTTGAAAAATATTCACTAAACATTTTTTAAATTAATGATTTTTTTCAGGCACATTAAGGACAGCTATTTAAACAAGTTCCACTGCGCAATAACACTCTAATAAACAACAACAAAAAATAACCACGCAACGTGAAATCGTATTACTCTGTGCGTACTTTTGAGCAAACTACATTCATTAATATGCACATTTCTGCTTAGCGGGCTGCAAACGCGACATTCGTGCTGGAAGCACAACCCCATTTCGGATCGAAGAGGACCCCGACGCCGGACGGGCTCACGTGCTGACGTTACTATTCAAACGGAAATAGAGCCAAGATGGCCGGCGAAGGAGGGCAGTTTCTTTGCCCGTGATCAGTGCGAGCAGGCGCCGTGCCCGGGCAGACACAGACGCAGGCACCGACACGGGCAGGCCTGTCAGTTCCCCCAACTCGCGGAGCAAACGGTGCAACTCCGGAGCCGAGTAGCGGGGGAAGTCGGATCGCCATCCTAATGGAGCTGCGAAACTGCAGATAGACAAGCAAAAAAACCATAATCCCACCATCTACCGAGCAGGTAAACGGCACGCGTCTTATTTTAATAAGTAAACTGAAGATGATTTACAGCTTAATAATTATACCGCTATTAAAGAGGACCAGGCAAAGGCACAACACTCGGAGTAACTAAACGTGAACGATTAAAATATACAGTCCATACGATTTAGTCTAGCTATCACATGGAGCGATATTTTTTACTGATTGATCCGACTAGCAAGCTAACGGTACTCCATTATCTGGCTAGCTAGTTAGCCGCCGCTGCAGACAACTGGGCTGGAGTTTAAATCCCCAGCACGGCACTATAGGCGTAGCATCAGCTCATTGTCTTTTTAAACGTTTCGTTGTTCACCATGTCGATTTAGTGGACGAATGTCTTCGCTGTACATTTTATTGATCGCGGGGGAAACATCAGCCTCCCAGAGCAAGTTATTGTGTAAGCAACCCGTGTCACTGTTTCTCGTAAGCTTATAGCTAGCTCGTTAGATTTGTTGCTGTAAAAATAACTAGCTAGCTACAAAGATAGTGTGCTGCAAATCTGCTCTGATAATCAAGAGCCGGCTCTGTTTCAGTGATCGGATAGCTAGTTGATGGTACCCAGAATGAATAGTTTCCATTGATCAGACGTTATGCAGCGGTAAGAAGTTATGCTGTTACTTTGAGTTACTGTGTTGTTAAATGTGAGGAATGGGATGAGGACCCAAGACGCCCTTGAAACAAGTTCTGCCATCAATCCAACAATAATTTACTCAGCGCTGCCGTCTCTTCTGTAAACGATCGCCGAGGTAGATATTGACTTTTCTTGTTTTTTGTGTCAGTACTGAACTGCCCTATGGAGTTTGATATAGATGTTAGTGACGTTTGAGATGAAGAGGCCGTCGTTATCCCATCTGAGATTCCCACCCATCCTTGCTCCTTTGAGCTGGACGGCACATTGGTCTTCTCTACTGCTCTGATCCCTCACTGATGTTGACTGACTGCTCTCCTGGCTGTCTGCTTTCAAAAGCTCACTTTCCATCAAGGCACACGCGTTATGAAACCCAGCAAGTTTCTTTTTGACAAGTGTATGCCGTGGCAAAGCTTTGTTTTGAAATAAGATATTGACAAACGCTTCCAGGCTCTTCTGGTTAATTTGTGACATAACTTGGATTTTAATTCACGTGCCCCATCTGCACCTTCAGATACAGTATAATGAAGAGCGGTGATGAAATGTTCTGATGCTCTAAAATGATTTTTGACTCTTTGGATAATCTATAGTTGATTTTATGACTGACCTGGAAATAAAAGGAATTAAGCATGACTGTTCAGATTTTAAGCCTTATTTAATCTTTTATTACAGTGGGTTTAATCCTATCTCTGAGGCCAGGCAGGGTTCTCGCAAAGCCTTCACCCTCCTGTGTAATAGTGCCCCAGATGATTGTTTGGCACTGCTGAAGGGGCCTTTGTGTGGCACTGCAGGCAGCCTGCGGGGTCCGTCTTTGCTAAAAGCCAGTTCCGTCGTTCAGATCCGTGGTGGTCTCTGCCACTGAGCTGTCACAGAACAAGACTTCATGTTATGGGTCTAGGGAAAAACTGATTTCTCTCCCGTTGCCTCTTTACATAGCAATTTATGGTGAAATGCTATTAAATCAGGGACTTTGTGATTTTTTTTTCTTTTTTTAGTGATTGTACACATAAGTTTCTGTCAAGGTTGTTTGTAAATTGACAGTCAGTTGTACATAAGATGAAGGCTGCCATTTTTGACACGTGAGTCTATATGAAATCTACTGCAGCCAATTTATATACTGGTCTCTGTCTAGTGAATAGTGCAGCAGTTCAGTACTAGAATCTGGAAATGAGGGTGAAAGAGATCAACCAGTGAGAAATGTGCACATTTTTTTCTGTGTCTCTGTGACATTTGTACACATCAGCTTTGTTCTGCTCTCCGTCTATATTTTAGTCACTGCGCTTTGTGAGTTTCGAGGCAGCCGACAGCATAGGATCCCTGTGCCGGCCGATGTTGTTGCCAAAGAGACTGTGCTAACCAGTCAGTTGAATCTGGCATATGTGCAGGCAGGAGTCTATCCTGTTATTCTCATGTGATTGGACTTAATGTCCAGTTAGAATGCTTAGATAATAGGGCTACAGCATCCGATTACTGACTGATGTGCAAATCAAAAGCAGAAAAATTGGTTGAGCCAACAAATCCGTATGACCGTAGCTTTCCTTGTGAAATGTTGAAATAACTTGGTATTGTTTTTTTTCCCAGATTTGAGGTTATTTTTTGTATATAAAAATAATTTCCTGTGTTTTTTGGTGTCTGTTTCCATATCTGCAAAGGTTCACTTCCAAAGTAAATAAGAAATTGGGACTTTCAAAACTGAGTCGTCTTATAAGGCCACAATTAGATGAGTGAGGCCTTCATCTACACAGATGCTTGAAGACAATTGAAAGGGTTGTTCCCCTTTAAGTGGGCAGGGCTGTTGTGTTTCTCGAAGTGGCACATAGCATTTCCTGTTTAATAGTCAAGCAAACCTTCTTGTGATCACAAGTTGTAACCCATTCCAATTTCAAGAATCTTTGTTCCGCTGCTGAGGTCAAAGCTGATTTAAAATATCTACAGTATAGGGCTGCCACTAACGATTATTTTTCTATCGATTGATCTGTCGATTATTTTACCGATTGGTAGATTAATCTAAACGATTATTTTTCTTCCAGAAAATCAAGTAGATTTTTAAAAGAGGAGAAAACTATATCTTTTATTTTGTGTCCTTTTTCGTTTCAGTTTTAGTTTACGATAATAACATTGATCCCAACAAACACACACTGGCACCGTCAGTCCAAGCAGAATAAGCCCAGATTTTATTCCAAGCGTTTTCTCAAACACTTATTCAATGGAGATTCTAAGGTAGCAGGCAGATGACTTTACGGCTTTAATAATGAGCGTATTTAGCAGCTGCAAGGATAAAAAGTATTAAAAAGCTCTCTGTACTAATATTTAATAGACATGACTAGACAGCACTTAGGGTGGTTTTGCTTATTCTGGCAGTCCAGACTAGTGCCTGGGTGTTTTGTCTTCAGGCGGTCGTGCATGGCGCTAGTTTCCCTGTAGTATGCCATCGAACTTTGCACAGCGTAAAACCACCTTTTTGTTTTGTGATAATTTTGACTTCTCCCATAATTACGTAGCGATAAGGAAAACATTTGTTATAAAGAAATCATAATGGTATTTTTTTTAGAATAATAATTTTTTAAAATGATGCGTCGATTTAAAATATTGATGTTGATGCTGTTTCAGTGTGTAAGTTATCAATCGTGGCAGCTGCACTACAGTATGACAATCAGTCAGAGTGATTAAATGATGCAGATCTGCTAGGATTGCTCTTTAGGTATACATAGCCTGAAATTTTACTTTTTTACATGAACTGTCTTTTTCTGACCGCAGAGAAGGCCTCATAAGTTAACAGTGAGGCTATTAGCACCCAAAACAATGTGTTAAAACCTTACTTCCTGGTATGTGGGGACTTTTTTTCAGGTCCCCACAGTATGAACCTCAATTTTATAAAAATTTGTAAATGCATTCAAAACAACTAAAATAGTCAAAAGTCTTTTATGTTGTTTGGTTACTGATGGTTATGGTTACGGCTGGGTAGGGGTTAGGGTTATCATAGTTAGGAATAGGGTTTTGCCCATAGAAATGAATGGAAGGTCCCTACAATAACATATATGATGTGTGTGTGTGGTGTTTGCATGTGCAGTATCATTTCCCAGAGTCCTCCTCTTTTGCCCATTTTGTGTGTGTGCTCACTGCTATGGACTAGCGTCCCATCTGCACTATTTTCCTACCTCGTACCTTATACCTCCTGGAGCTACTATTGGTATTAGGCTTGGCTCCCCTGCTGTGTGACTGATTGAGCTACAGGAGATTATACCCCGGCCTTTGTCTCACAGGAGGAGGTTGGCATTGCTTGGCCAACGGGATGAGGACAAGAGCAGGCCTTTCCACTAGGCCTGGCTGCTTAACCTCTGCTTGCATTTCATTCCAAAAATGGCGGTTTGGTCATGGTGACTGGCATTGAACCCAAAGGCCACATTATTATTCAAGTAACGTATTCCTCACCTTGCCAGTGGCCTTGGCATAACATTTAACAGAGTTCAGCAACTTCACCTCCTCCAACACCACCAGGTAGTGCCCATGTCTGTTGTTTTAGTGTGTTCATCTGGAGAAGACTGACCTCTTGAAGACTTTGGCTGCAAATTTAAGGAACTGCTGCTTCTTCAGTTGAAAGGTGCAAGTTGTAGTATGTTTACGCTGGAATAGTCGGAGCTCTGCTGAAATGGGGCCATTCACCCTGTCTTGTGAAGCGGAACGGCGCCCTACTGTTGGAGGTACATCCGAGTTGAGGTGTCACATAGACGCCGTCCTATTTATGAGAGCAGTCCAGGCTGAAAGACAATCTTCTGATATAGGAGAAGGACAGCTTAAATTTTTAGAACTTAATTGTCGTGGTACATAACAACAGTATAGCGTTTCAAAGGAGAGATGACCTGTTTTCATTTTTAGGTTATGGAAGTCTTTCTCTTGAATTGTCTAGATGAATTGTGTGGACTTTTTCGGTGTATGGAAAGTAGCATATCAGCTGTGTGCCATGATATCCGTGGCTTGTTTTAAGATTGCACATGCTTCGTGTTGAATGCCACATGAAATAGATCTCCAGTTGTGTCTCGTAGTGTCCCATGGACAAGGTTTATTACTTTTCTGATCTTGATCACATGATGCGGGGGGAGGGTGGGAGAGTTAACGTAATCAGAGCTTTGGCCACTTGATAGGGGTAGTTCTCTTTTCCCGAATAACCATCCTACTTGGATTCTTTCCCATGCAGTGGCCCGTGTAGGATTGGCCATGGGTGATGCAGAAGTGGAGCCCTCTCCTGCCCAGGTGGAGGAACTGCAGCGGAGCCCTTCTGTTTCCTCCACGTCCAGCACCTCATCTCCATCCTCTCCCTCCACTGGCCGCCACCAGCAGTCTCTCAGCCCCGGCAGCAGCGACAGCACTCGGGGTGTTAGCCCGCCTCTGGATGTCATCTCAGAGGGTGTGGGGGAGCTCACCTTGGTCATCGACCCAGAGGTGGCCAAGAAAGCTTGCCAGGAGGTCCTGCAGAAGGTGAAATTGCTCAAAGGCAACGCAGATGGCCTGGTCAATGGGGGCACCCATGTGGACCCTCCCAAGATTAGAGAGGAAGAGGAGGACCCCCTCCCTGGCACAGTGAAGAGCGCCCGGCGGCGGCAGAAGTACAACTCTTCGAAGCAGTCATGGCTTCTGCGGCTCTTCGAATCCAAGCTTTTTGATGTCTCCATGGCCATCTCCTACCTGTACAACTCCAAAGAGCCTGGTGTACAGGCCTACATAGGCAACCGTCTCTTCAGCTTCCCCAATGAAGATGTGGACTTCTACCTGCCGCAGCTACTCAACATGTACATTCACATGGACGAGGACGTCGGAGATGCCATCAAACCTTACGTGGTGCACCGCTGTCGGCAGAGCATCAACTTCTCGCTTCAGTGCGCCTGGCTTTTGGGCGCCTACTCTTCTGACATGCACATTTCAACGCAGCGTCACTCTCGGGGCACCAAACTCCGCAAAGTTATCCTCTCTGATGAGCTCAAGCCCTCCAGCCAACGTGGCAGGAGAGAGCTGGCACCGCCTTCATGCCCGCCCCCCATCCTCAGCCATGTCCACCCCGAGCATGGGCTCTCACCTTCCAAGCGCACACACCAGCGCTCCAAGTCTGATGCTACCGTCAGCATCAGCCTCAGCAGTAACCTGAAGAGGACAGCCAGCAACCCCAAGGTGGAGAATAGCCAGGATGAGGTGAGTGTGGCGTCTGTTTTTTCTCCCTTGGTGGTCTGGTTTGACTGTTCGTTGAAAGTGAAGAGCCCGGTAATGACATGCCTTGCATTTTACGGTCTTGTGCAGGATGCGTCATGCCGTGCCTTACCTCCTTATGCAATCCCCTTTGTAAAACATCTACAGATTCCCTGTAAAAATCTCTTTAAGAAACTCTAGAATTGATTTTTGTTTACCCAAATACATTTTCATTTCATTTAAGTGCTTTGACATTAACCTGTCAAAAACTACTTTTTTGTTTCCTGGTCTTCCTCCAGTCTAGGATAAATTGTAAAGTCAGCCCTCAAGTTCACTTTTGAGATGTTTATTGGGTGGGCTACCTTCAGTGTGGTGTTTCTCAGTGACGGCCTACATGTGCAGCCGAAATGACCCTGAATGTCGAGCATGTCACACATTATCGGGCTGCTTCTAGGAGCTCCCCCTCTCCCCCGCAGCCTCTGCAGCCTCCCAGCTAAGTGGGTCACAGGCATGTGGCAGAACTTGCGTTCCAACAAACAAGACATGGGATGCTGGTGACAGATGCCAGCCGTGCCTATGCACAGTCCAGTGTGAGGGGCAGAATGGGATCTGTCTCTTTAAGTAATGGTTTGACGAAGAGCCCTTTAAAGGATTATGGGTAGAGTCCTGGGTAAGCCCCTAAATTTTAAGGTTCATGAGAAGCCCTGCTGTTTTCACTTTGAGTCATGGTGCCTGGGACTCATTTGCATAGTGTAGTTGAAGTGTATGCTTGTAAATTTTGCAATACAAATGTGTATAATATAATAATGTAGAACCTAGTTGATTAAAGGTCATTTTGGCACAGGGCTTGATTGGCTTTTGTTGGTTGGTCGACTTCTTCCTGTCCTCACTGCCTCTTTAGTCCTTTTCATGTTAAAGTTCAGTCCTCCTCTGTTTTAGAAGTGGCCTGGTGACCTTATCAGTAAACGATGAGTAGAGTTCAGTCCTCGGGAGTTGACTCAGTGACACGGCTGTGTCACTCGGCTCTTTGGTCAGTGAAGCATGCTGGCACCAGTTGAAGGCGTCACAAGAATGTAGGAGTGGTTCTGGTGACTGTACTGGTCATAAACGCGGCAGGGAGGCAGTTTGAGAGAAACGCCACCGCCTGGGCTTGCGTGGGCTGTCATCTGTGACACTGTCCTCTGTAGAGCAGCTGTCCCTCATTTCTTTCCTTGGTGACAACAGGCTACAGCCAGCATGTTTTCAGGGTGTGTCTGTAGCTGGGGCCCCTTGGGGAATCTGGGGGACTGGCGTTCCAGTGTATGTCCAGCTGCCTGGTTTTAGGGGGGGGTTTCCTCCCCTTGTTAAAATCAACTCTGCTGAGAGGAGCTACAACGGGTCACAAACATGGGGACGCAGTTACTCTACCTTTGGAATCGTGGTCAACTCACACGTGCCAATTTCAAGAAGCCCTCCCCCCCCTCCCAGTCCCCTGCAGGTCTGGTTTCCTGTTGCTGTTTTCCCCCTTTGCTTTGGCTTTCCTGTCATGAATCTATGGCCTTGGTTGCCCCCCCCCCCTCTTCCTGCCCTATACTCCTCCATCATTTTACTGTCCTGCTGGGCCACATCTGCTCCATTTGCCTGCAATCTCCTTTGGTATCTTATCTGTTTGACTCCTTCCTCCTGTGCTGACCTCCTCCCCCCAAAGACTAGTGATATAGAGCCGTGTGCTCTAGGTATAGGCTTTGAGGGGATAACAGTGATTACTGTCACCACATGAAACCCATATGCAGTAACCTTGGTGACCTTAGCATGGTTTTCTCCCACACTGTTGCTATAAGGAACCGGTCCTCATTGTGGACTGAACTGTGTTCTATATCTAGTCAAGTTGCTTTGCTGTCATTTCATACAAATGAAACAAAATTGTGTTTCTTCAGTGCATCGGACAACTAGAACACAGTGCAGTTGAATGCTCGACAATGAACGGTTGAATACTTATAAATACTGGATATAAAAAATATACACAACAGTACGACTCAGTGCAGGTAAACGGTACAAGTAAACAGTATGTGCAAAACATAGTAGATAGATGGTAATGTATGTAGACAAGTGAATATCATTTTAGTGCAAATATGTAAGTGGAGACTTTTTCTGTCAACGTTTATGAGGTAGGTGTGAGTGGAGAACTCGGATAGCCTGGGGGGGGGAAGCTGCTGCAGAGCGTGCTGGGGGTGTAGCTAACCTTTTGTTGTTTGACGGGGGTGAGGTGTATCTACTTCTGCCCCACTTCATTAACTAAGAGAAAGAGGACATGGAAAGAAGCGTAAACACCCAAGCAGCCAAGTTTAGGAACACAAATAAATATGTTTGGTGATTCAAAAGGTGTTCTGAAGAGTCATCCTAACTGTCTTTGGGGTGTATTTGGGCGGGGTGGTGAAAATCAGTAAAACTGCCAGTATCTTCATACTGCAGATTGTAGTATATCTGTATAATGCAAAAATCTGAAGTCTTGAGCTGGCAACCACAAATCCAAAATGGATTTGTAAATCCCCAGTAGTCTGCAGGAAGGTCTGTCTCCATTTGTTTATGGAAAAATCCTAAAGTCTTGACCTTGCAGCAATCACTTTGTGTGTGTGTGTGTGTGTGTGTGTGTGTGTGTGTGTGTGTGTGTGTGTGTGTGTGTGTGTGTGT